CAGAATCCTCTGCACCTTCTTAAACCCTCTGACCAGAGGTGGGGAGAGGTTCCGCCAGGATTTCTCAGTGTGATTGTAAATGCTGGTGTGTACATCATAACAATGAATAGGAGCACGATCAGAGTAAAAGTAGTACTGATTCTAGAACAAGGCAGGGTATAAATAGGGGTAAGCTACTCAAAACCATGCCACAGGCCTCCTGTGCACTCTCCTGATGAATCATCCCAGTTGGGAAGTTTCTATTGCCATAAGGTATGTGTAAGGAACTAAGGCACAGAAAGGTTATGTGACCTTCTAAAGGTCACACAGCTAGTTGGTGATGGGACTGTGGTTTCAGTCAGTCTACTTCAGAGTCCATACGTTTAACTCACACTATTCTACCTCCTAAAAACAGTTCAAACTAACGATGATATCTTGATGTCTCATTTTTTAATCAAATAATAGATTTCTATGGGTAGGGAAGTTTGGGGCAGGTAGAGATGGATGGGAGGACTATCGGGGAAGGACATGTCACATGTGTGAGGGGCCTGCCAACTGGTCACTATGAATCATGGGGACTTAATAAAGTGGCAGACTGAGGCCAGGTTACCTTAATAAAAACATAAATAGCTTTGGATTTAACATTTGGATTTAGAAATTTAACTTGAATGTTATTTTATTTTCCAAATGCAGTTTTATTTTTTATCAACTTTAGGACATTTGACTGATTTTCTCAAAATAGTTTTACATTGCTACAAGTTATTTAATTCAAGAGTAGAGGGGAGGGAGGGAAGGAGAGAGCGAGAGGAGCAGAGAGATATTTTAAGGCCCAAAAATATTTTTAATGTGGTTTGAAGTTGGCAGGCATGAGGCTTCGTGGAAAGCACCGGGGCTGCTGGGCCCTGGGAGACCTGGGCTGTGGTTCCAACCTTGCTGCTGAGACCTGTGTGGGCCTGCAGATGTCCTTGCTCCCTGCTCAGACAAGGTGTCTGGGTTGAAGCCAGGAAAATTGTGGGAGATTTCGCTTGTTGTTTTACAGCCTCGGCTCTAGGTCCAGCTGTGTTGCCGGGTGGATGAGTGAGAACTTTGTATTCTGTGGGAATTGCTGCAGGCCTTTGCACAGGACCAGCTGGGAAGGGCAGGAGCACCCGTGTTTTGGCTTCTGACCTCTGCTTACCCGTGTTTTGGCTTCTGACCTCTGCTTACCCTAATCACAGGCAGCCCAGACACTGGTCCCCTCAAGCCCCAGGGGTAGGTAGGCCTGTGGTGATTGAAGACAACCCTGCTCCCAACTGGAACATCCCCCACATGGAGGACAGACCTACATAGCACTACAAACTGTCAGAGCAGATCAGCTGACCCTGAGGGACATGCTAGCCCTGGGCCCAGTACAGTGAATAAGAATGCCCAGAGATATTGGCATAAATGCATAAATATAGACACATAGATCAATGGAACATAATAGAAAGCCCAGACATACACTGAGTGGTCAGATTATTATGATCTCTGAACACATAAGAATCTGGCCACTCAGTGTATATCCTATATAATAAAAGGCTAATATGCAAATTTTCCCCTCGACCCCACCCATACACGAATTCATGCACCAGGCTTCAGTATATATACACTGAGTGGCCAGATTATTATGTGTTCAGAGATCATAATAATCTGACCACCCAGTGTATATGGTTAATTAATTTATGACAAAAGAGCCAAGAATATATGATGGCAAAAGGGCAGTCTCTTAAAAAATGATGTTGGGAAAACTGGACAGCCACATGCAAAAGAATGAAATTCTACCATCATCTTACACCATACACAAAAGTCAATTCAAAATGGACCAAAGGCTTACATGTCAGGCCCCAAACCATAAAGTTTCTAGAAAAAGACATAGGTAGTAAGTTCCTTGACATCTGGTCTTGGCAATATTTTGGATATGACACCAAAAGCAAAAGCAGCAAACAAGCAAATAAAGGCCACACACATACACAAAAAGAACAAATGGGACTACATCAAACTATAAAACTTCTACACAGCAAAGGAGACCATTAATAAAATCAAAAGGCAATGAGAGACAATATTTTCAAATCATATAGCTGATAAGAGATTAAAATCCAAATTATATAAAGAACTCAAACAACTCAATAGCAACAAACAAACAAACAAAACAAAACAAACCAACCACAATCTGATTAAAATATAGGCAGATCTAAAAAAAAAAAAAAAAGTCAGATCTAGCCTTAGCTGGTTTGACTCAGTGGATAGAGCATCAGCCTACCTACTGAAGGGTACATGCCTATTCCGGTCAAGGGCATGTACCTAGGTTGCAGGCTCAATCTCTGGCCCTGGTCAGGTGGACTGTGGGAGGCAACCAGTTGATATCTCTCTCATACATTGATGTTTCTCTCTCTCTATCTCTCCCTTCCCTTCCACTCTCTCTAAAAATCAATGGAAAAATATTTTCTGGTGAAGATTAACAACAACAAAAAAAAGGTAGATCTATATAGACATTTTTCCAAAGAAGGTACATGAAAAGATGCTCAACAGCACTAATCATTAGGGAAATGCAAATCAAAACTACAATATATCGCCTCATACCTGTTAGAATGGCTATTATCAACAAGATAAGAAATAAGAGTTGCAAGGCTGTAGAGAAAAAGGAACCCTTGTGTACTGCTGGTGGGAGTGTACATTGGTGAAGCCACTATGGAAAACAGTATGCAGGTTCCTCAAAAAATTAAAAATAGAATTACCATATGATCCAGGAATCTTAATTCTGGGTATTTGTCCAAAGAAATGAAAACACTAACTTAGAAATATATGTATACTCCCATAGTCATTGCAACATTATTTACAATATCTAAGATATGGAAATAATCTACATGTCTATCAACAGATCAATGGATAAAGAAATTGTGTATGCCCCGCCAGTGTGGCTTAATGGTTGACAGTCAACCCATAAACCCGGGAGGTCATGGTTTGATCCCCAGCCAGGGCATATGCAACCCCAGCCAGGGTTGCAGGCTCCATTCCCAGTGTGGGTTGTTCAGGAGGTAGCTGACCAATGATTCTCTCTCATCACTGATGTTTCTCTCTTTCCCTCTCCCTTCCTCTCTCTGAAATCAATAAAAACATGTTTTTAAAAATTGTGTGTGTATATATATACTAGAAGCCCGGTGCACAAATTTGTGCAAAAGGGGGCTCTAGCTGGCCCACCCTGATCAAGCTGGTCCAGCAGAGGGGGGGGGGGCAATGGGTAGTTGGTGGGCAAGCCCCGCCCCCTATTTGGGTTGAGGCGGGCTGGTCAGGGGCAGGGCCAGCTGGGGGGGCCATGGTGGTTGCCAACCCGCCCCATCCCATGGTCAAACTCCTGATTGAGGGGACAACTGCATATTAGCCTTTTGTTATATAAGATATATAATGGGATATATACTAGCCTTTTATTATATAGGCTATATAATGGAATATTCTATAGAATATATAATATTATGTTATCCTATATAATAAAAGCCTAATATGAAAATTGTCCCCTCGACCAGGAGTTTGACTGGGAGTTGGACCAGGGGGGAGGGCCATCAGCCAACCTCCCAGGTCTCCTCCCCTGGCCAGCCTGCCCTGATTGGCTCCAATCGGGGCAGGGCCTACTGGACCCCGTCCATGCACGAATTCATGCACCGGGCCTCTAGTGCAGCTATAAAAAAGAATAAAATCTTGACATTTGTGACAACATGGGTAGATCTCCAGGATATTATGCTAAATAAATAAGTCAGGTGGAGAAAGACAAATACCATATGGTTTCATATGTGAAACCTAAAAATAAAAAACCAAGCTTATAGATTCAGATAACAGATTAGCAATTGCCAGAGGTGGGCCCAGGGGATGGGAAGTGGGAGAATGGGTGAAGAAAATCAACAATAACAAACAGCAGATTAAAAAAAGGAAAAAAAGATTTTAAAGAAACAATCCCAGAGAGCTTCTTTAAAAAAAAGAAAAAACAAACAAAACGGATCCCTGCCTTCTGAGTCAGATTCCCCAGGAGTGGGGCCTGCGACTCTGACACACTTCCCAGGGGATTCGCATGACTAACAGCCGGGTCCAACCTCTCTACTTTTCCTGGGGAAACTGAGGCCCAAAAAAGTTTTGAGCCAGTCATCAGCAGAACCAAAATCAGAAATTAGATCTTTAGACCCACGGTTAGATATGATTTCTACAAAAAGACCAGGAACCTGTAAGACTCAAAACAATTGCCTATCATTTTGCTTGTTTGTTTTAATTTTCAGAAAACCAAAGCATACAATTTAAAGGCTCATATAAAGGTGGTTTTACAAGACTTGTATGAGAAAACACAGCTCCTTGTCTAACCCCTCCCACCCTCCCGCCCCACGGGTAACCACTTTCAACTCTTTTAGCCAATTTTTTGCGTATTGAACGGAGCCAGAATGTCATCCAAAATATGCTTCTTTGACATAAAAATTCTTTCTAGCTGAAGGCAATGAAGAAGCAGCAAATGCAGGAAAAGCTTTTCTCCCCCCTCTCCCTCTTCTGTCTAAAGGCAGAATATAAATTCTCTCTTTTTTTTTTTAGATTGATTCTTATCCTTCCAGAGATACACTAGAGGAATCTGCAAGTGAGCCTTACTCCATTAGTTCCCTCCCATATATGTACCTTCCAAGTTTGTCATTTTTAGAAGGCTAAACTGATCTCCTTTGTCTTGTTATCTCCATACAAAAGTGCTCTTTGTCGATGCTACATAAGCCAGAGTTCTAAACCCCTGCTTTGAGTTACTTTTAACTGAGGGTTCTCCCACATAATGGGTGCTGCATATATTCACTAACTGCTCTTCTCTTGTTAATTGGTCCAGCTGAAAACCAAACATGGGTGAAGGTCTGCCTCCCCTATAGCATTGGCTCCCACCCTCGGCCTTGTTGCATTTTTACAATGGGTATGCATTGCTTTGTAGACTTGGGTTGCCAGGGTTAGCACAGGTCTGGGGCGCCTGGGCATTGCAGAGTGCCCCGAGGTCACTGGGCACAGGCCACCAGCTCCTCCAGGGCTTGGTCGCGGCGGTTGCCGTGGACCAGCAGCACCTCCTTGATGCGGTCCTGCTGGAAGCCCATGTCGCTGAACTGCTCCCAGAGGCGCAGGAACTCCCCTGCCTGGGGAAAGGAAGGCAGAGAGGGCACTGAGGCTTAGCCTCCACCCTGCGCAGCCCCCTCCCCAGTCTCCTCTGTATCTACTCCCAGAAAGCTGTGGCCCTCACAGGCCAGGTAAACCTGACCCTGGGCAACCTGCCTGTGAGGTGACATGGGCCAAGCAAGGAGGCCCCAGCCTGGCCACTGGCTTGGTCCTGGCTGTACTCCCCCACCCCAGCTCTCTCCTGACTACCTGGGGCAGGAAGAGGAAAGCCAAATGCTGGTGCCCAGAGGATGCGCAGCCCAGGATCTCTGCGGAGGTGTCACACAGTACAGCTTTGGTCCTCCTTCCTCCTCTGGCACCAGCGCTTGAAGCATCCCTGCTTTCCTTCCTCCCTCCTCCTCTGTATGTCTCCCACCCTTCTGTCCCTTCATCAGCCTCTGTGAGGAGTTGCTCTCGAGCCTGAACCAGCTGCCGAGCATGGACAGATCATATTCATCAGGCACGCAGAATGTACTACTGGGCCCACAGTGGCCTATATGCTGGATACCAGATAGACGGCCAGCTCCTTGAGCAGAGTTTTCAAGCACCTTTGTGCTGCCTGTGGCTCCTATCTGGATGTCTAACAGAGAGAGGGCATTCAATGACCCGTGTGCTGATTCAGTGAAATAATACAAAGCCGTGCCACTGGTTCCCTCCCCACCGCGTCCCCTTACCTTCTGTGCTTCATCTCCCTGGCTGTCTGCTCCCCAGGGCTGAGCAAGCAGGCTCTCTCCTTGTCGCCCCCAGGCTGGCTCTGGCACCATATGCCCCTGCACACCAGGCTCGTGTGTATACCCCTCCCTTCTCTGCCTCGGCTCAGGCAGGGGGCTGGCTGACCTGGCTCTCAGAGAACTGGAACATCTCCATGGCCTCCTCCACCAGGCCCTCGTCGTAGCCCTGTCGCAGCAGCCGGTCACAGGCACTGAGGTAGCTGAGAAACTGGGCCAGGAAGGGCAGAGAGGGAGGGGATAAGATGGGTGGCTCAGAGGTTGAGCATCGACCTATGAATCAGAAGGTCACGATTCCCGATTGTTTTGTTTTGTTATAAAAGGGGGTTTGCCGAAACTGGTTTGGCTCAGTGGATAGAGCACCGGCCTGTGGACTGAAGGGTCCCAGGTTCGATTCCAGTCAAGGGCATGTACCTTGGTTGCGGGCATATCCCCAGTAAGGGGTGTGCAAGAGGCAGCTGATCGATGATTCTCTCTCATCGATGTTTCTAACTCTCTCTCCCTCTCTCTTCCTCTCTGTAAAAAATCAATAAAATATATTTTGAAAAAAAAGGGGGGGGGGACATCAGGGGAAGTAGATGGGGTAGAGAAGACATCCCAAGGACCTCAGTAAGGCCTGAGCTAGGCCAGCTGACTAGGCAATCCACCACACATGACATGGCCCCAGAAACCCCATGGGCCGTGGACAGGTGGACACCAACTGTCCCAAACTAGGGGCTGTTAGGGTGAGCTAAGGTGTTCCCAGAAGCTAAGTGGGGAGTGGGACAGGCCTGCAACACAGGTCTCTTCTCACTCACCACCCATCCCAGCCTGCTCACCCTCCCTGGTGAGCACCTACCTGTATGAAGGTGCCATCCATTCCTGGGCACCCCTACCCTGCCCCATCCCTGGACACATACATCTCTGCCACCCAGGACTTCATGAGCCCCCACTATGCAACAGAACTGCGTCTGTGCTGGAAAGGGGCGGGGACAGAGCGGACCTCCCAGGCTGAACACCTGCTCTGGTCACTTCCTGCCTAGCCCTCAGGGGCTGCTTTGGCCCTCAGGGTGAAGTGCTGCCTCCCAACCAGGGCTCAAAGGCCTGCTCCTGCCTGTCAGTCACCTCTGCTCCTCCCGCAGCCCCCATCACAGCCCGCCTCACTCCTCTTACCTGGGGTCCTCTCTGCCCTGTTTCCAAGGTGCTGTGCTTGGCGGTCCCACAGCACATACAACTTGGTAAAACTGCTCTACTGCCTTTCCCATCTTCTCATCCACTGGCTTTTTGCTCCTTGAGGGAAGGGCTGTGTCACCACTGTGTCCCAGCACCCAGCATGGCAGGCAGAGGGAGCTCCATAAATACATGCTGTGTTTATAAAGTGAATTAAGAACTACCTCCGAGGAGCTCACAGCTCAGTGGGGGAGATAAACCAGATACTGGCAATCATGAGGCCCCGACAAATCAAAGCAGGATTTATGGGGAGTCAGTGCCAGACCATAAGAATTGCGGGTGTAAGCGGAGAAAAAGAGGTTGGGTTTCTGCAGACCTTCAGAGGAGGGCAGAAAGCAAGGATAATATCAGTGAATGGTTTCAGCTTCTCAACTGTCCCAGGACACCTAGGCCTTGCTGGAGCACATCTGGAAAACCACCCAGCCAAGCCCGCCTTGCACCCCTGAGGAAACAGGTCCGGACGATGCGGGCAGCTTGCCCAGGGTCCCAGGACTAGGGCCTAGATCACCTAATCTCGAGCTAATGCCTTGTCCATCATGGGGCCACGACTAGAGGAGGGGCTCGAGCTAGCTTAAAAGTAGACAGAGTTTCTGAAGGTGAAAACAGGAGTGGGGGCAAGGGCAGATGGGAGATCTCCCTTCACCTCTTAGCTCACCCACAGCAATGGATCGTGGCCTTAGTGTTGATTGCAGCTACCTGGGAGTTTTAAACTACTCATAAGCTACCCGGCCAGCATGGCTCCGTGGCTGAGCATCAACCTATGAACCAGGAGGCATGGTTCGATTCCCGGTCAGGGCACATGCCCAGGTTTTTGGGCTGGATTCTAAGAAGGAGGCATGCAGGAGGGAGCCAAACAATGATTTTCTCTCATCATTGATGTTTCTCTCTCTCTCTCTCTTTCTCCCATCCTCTCTGAAATCAAGATGAGCCTGGGTGCTCCCCTGAAAGGTTCTCATGCAGAAAATGAGAGAAAAGCACTGAACAACAAAGATTCAGTGTGAACCAGCTTGTTTCCCCAGCTGCAAAGCGAGGATAGTAATAGCGACCTTGAAGAATTGAGAAGAGCCCTAACTGATTTGGCTCAGTGGATAGAGCATCAGCCTTCAGACTCAAGGGTCCCAGGTTGGATTCTGGTCAAGGGCATGTACCTTGGTTGCGGGCACATCCCCAATGGGGATGGCAGCTGATTAGTGTATCTCTCTCATTGATGTTTCTAACTCTCCCTCTCTCTTACTCTGTAGAAAAATCAATGAAATATATATATATTAAAATAAATAAAAATTTAAAAAAAGAATTGAGAAGACCTAATTGTGTACTCTCAGATTGAGGGACTGGCACACACACAAAAATATTAACTAAATATTAACACCACTAATGCCTGATTGATGAAGGGATATAAAGGTCTGACCAGCTCAGCCTCACTTAGGATGGCTCTCGAGGGCCATACTTGCTCCAGAGCTGAGGAGTTGGCTGACACTGTCGTTGGGTCTACAAAGCTCAACCTCTCCATCTACCCACTCCTGCTTCTATCCACTCCCTTCTGCAGGAGTTGATCCCAAGAGTCTCCTTACTTAACTCCATCTGAGTCTGATTCCTGGGGACTCCAGCCTACAACAGTGGTTTTCCTGTACCCTGGTATCCCCCCTACCTCCCAGCCATATCTAAACACCCAGGAAATACCCAATAAGTACTAGTAGATGGATAGGTGGATTTGGTCAAACTGAACACAATTCCTTCGTTGAGGAAAATGGTTAGAACTGCAAAACCTAGTAGTAGTCACATGTAACTATTTTAATTACAATCACATAAAATTCTCAGTCATACTAGCCACATTTCAAGTAATAACGTATGGCTGGTGGATCCTGTATTGGATAGCAGATATAAAACATCGCTCATTACAAGAAGTTCCACTGGGCAGCTATAGAGATCCTTGGTTGCCCAAAGAGCCAGCCCCTGCATTTGGGATACAAAGCAGGAGAGGAGTAAAAATCAAGGCGTCCCCAAGTGTGCACAGGGATTCCTGATAGACTCCTATGCAGAAGGTAGCTTTAGGATCTAGAAACTGCTCATAACCCCCAACAATTAATGCCAGGCTGAGATTTTGCTTCTGAAGAGAAGGAAACAAAATTTCTTCAAGTTAAAGATAAAACCACGTGGCCAAAACCGGTTTGGCTCAGTGGATAGAGCATCGGCCTGCGGACTGAAAGGTCCCAGGTTCGATTCCGGTCAAGGGCATGCACCTTGGTTGCGGGCACATCCCTGATGGGAGTTGTGCAGGAGGCAGCTGGTTGATGTTTCTCTCTCATCGATGTTTCTAGATCTCTATTCCTCTCCCTTCCTCTCTATGGAAAATCAGTGAAATATATTTTTAAAATAAATAAAAATAAAGATAAAACCACGTGGCCACCCTTCTGGTTCCAGCTCCACAGCCCCCCAACTCCGGAGGATCGCTCACCTGGCTCAGACTCTGACGCCCCGTCTTCTGCAGAGCCACGATGGCCCTGTGCAGGGGATACCCCAGGGCGACCACGGGCCCAATGAGGTCTTGCTCCTCTTGGCTCAGGGCGGACAGCAGGTCCGCAGAATTGGGGTGCGGTCTGTGGGCGAGGCGTGGCTGGGGCTCCCGCTCAAGAGGTGGCAGGCAAGTGTATGGGCTGAGGGACTGAAATGCAGACAAGCTGGATGAGTCATTTACCACTGGGAGAACATCTGGTTGGGCAGGACCTTCTAAAAGGCACCTTTCACGCCCCCTTCTATACAGAGTACAGGGGCGAATGCCGTGGGGAGTGTAGATCCTGCTCTGGTCCACAGCCCAGATCGCTACTGTTCACTCAAGTTACTCAGAGTGAAATGAAGGCAGTCACACTGGATATCTCAGGGGTTGTTATGAGGCTTAAGAGTTACTTTAATCTGGATCAGGGAAGAGCCATCCTGGCCTTAACATCTGGCCCTGGATGTGGGCACAGCCGGTCCAGCTCACAGCGCCTCTTCTCTGTTTGCTCTGAAGGATGGTGAGAAGGGTTGCTGGCTGGCCCTCTTGACAAGGTAGAGAAGGGATGGCTCAGAGCACCTCAGTGACTTGCGTAAGATCACACACCAGTGAGTGGAGAAGCCAGACCTCGAGTCTCTTTGGGATTTAATGTCATGTTGGCCTCATTCTTTTGTACCCACTGGCTTGCCTGGGGCCACCGGGGGAAAGGGGGAAAAGAGACAGAAAGCTGTGCCCTATTGCTACCTCCTGCTGCTAATTCTGACCCACCCCACCTACTCAGGATCCAGGTTGTGTGGAGTTTGATGATTATACAATTTGGACCTCTTAAATAAAAAATTTTAAAAAGGATAGCATTATAAATATAAAATTAGGCCTAAAGCTTTGGAAAGAGCAAAGTCAGTGGCCTGAGGCTTAGCTTCATTGGGCTCATGGTACATTCACCTCTGCTCCCCATTCTGCTGGGTACAGTCCTCGGCCCCCAGCCTTCCCTGCCTGTAACAGCCCTCACCTCTCTCTCAGCACCTGATCGCACTGCCTTGTCTCCACGCCCCCTGAGGCAATTGTCCAGCGGTTTTGACTTTGTCTCTTCCCACCCAGTGTCTGGCAGGGATTTACGGACAGTGGCTATTCCCTGATTGAGCGTCCAGCTCAGCGTCCACAGAAAGCCTTGCCCAGCAAGCCCTGGATTTGAATCACATTCACTGAGCACCCTCTAGGGGCCAAGTCTGCCGCTGGGTGCTCTGCAGACAAAAATGAGTGCGCACCAACCCCTGCCCTAAAAGGAGGCGAGTTCATGTTCCGCGGGGGGAGAGACAGGTGCTGGATAACTAGGATGAGGTGGCATGAGCCCTAGCAGAAGCAACGCAGGCTCCAGGGGGGATGGGAGCCCTCTGAGCTAAGGCTGCAGGAAGGGCAGCAGGAAAGGCTAGGGAGGGGGAGCACGGAGAGGAGGCGACCTTGGCTATGGACATGGCTGGGGACCCAGACTACGGGGGCCTGGCCGCTGGTCTTGGCAGGGCCCGCAAGTTCCTTACCGCGGCCGCGGGCTTGCGGCTCCGCAGCGGGGGCGCGGCGCCCGCCGTGGAGGGCCGCGGGGCCGGGGCGGGCGCACGGGGGCCCCGGGGCGGGGGCGCGGGGCTCCGGGGCGGCTCCGGGCTGGGGCACAGGCTCCGGGCCCGCTGGCGGATGCGCTGCAGGAAGGCGCGCGGGCGGGCGGCCGCGCTGCCCTCGGAGAGCCGCTGCCGCACGCCCGCCAGCTCCGACCGCACGCCGCGCAGCCCGGCCAGCGAGCGCCGGTGGCGGCCCGGGCTGGGGCTCCCAGGAGCGCTGGGCTGGGGGCTGCGAGGCCCCGGCTCTTCCTCATCGGCAGGCGTGGCTCCTTCCTCCTCCTCCTTTTCCTCCTCCTCCTGTTCCTCCGGCTGCCCTTGGGGTCCAGCCTCGCGGCCCGCGGCTGCAGCAGGCAGGCACGCCGGCCCGCATCCCGGGCTGACCAGCAAGAGCCAGGCTGGAGGGGCTGACGCTGTCCCGGGGGCTTCGCACTGGGACTGGCAGGGTCCCCGGGTGACAGCCTCCACCCAGAAGAGGGTCCTCCTCTCCAGGCCGAAGTCGTGCTGCGGAGAGAAGGCTGCGTGAGGCGCAGCCAGGCAAACCGGGGCTCGGGGGCGCACCCCTACCTCTGGCCTCCGGTGCGCCCTTGCCAGACCTGCACGGCCTCCAATCCCGAGCCCCAGGCCCTCAGCACAGTCCACCCGCACCCTCCGCACCTCCGTTTTAGCTAGCACCGGGGTAGATGGATATCACAATTTATTTTTTTAATTGATTTTATTTTTTTATTTTTTTTAATATATTTTATTGACTTTACCCAGAGAGGGATTGAGAGAGATAGAAAGAAACATCGATGAGAATCATCCATCAGCTGCCTCTTGCACACCCCCTACGGGGGATGTGCCCGCAACCAAGGTACATGCCCTTGACCTGAATCGAACCCAGGACCTTTCCGTCTGCAGCCGACTGCCAAACTGCCAAACTGGTTTCAGCAGATAACAACAAATTAAACTCTGCATGAAGGATGAATGCAGTGAAATCTAATGTCTAAGTCCCTTTGCCATTCAGTATGCTCCTGGACAGAAGTAGCAGCTTAAACACTTGCTCAGGGCGCTTTCACTTGAGCCCGGCACCATTTGCCGGGAAGCAGTCAGCCTGGCAGCCCACCAGGCACTTAACCTCCCTGTGGGTGACATCTGCCCCCATGCTCCTGGCCGCCCCTGAGGTTGCTTTGAGACCCAGGCAATTGAAAACTTGCTAAGCTTTGTTGAACCCTACTTAGGAGGTTTTAGTGTTATTCCTTTTTCCAGATTATGAAAATGAGGCTCAGCGAGTTTAATTTGCTGGAGGTCATTTTGGAGGTGAGGGGCTGAGCTGGGATTTTTCTGACCATCTGATGGAAGAGTTTTATCCACTACATATAAGGCCACCTAAGGAAGCAATCTGGAGCCCACATAAATAACCTAACTCCATGGTCGGCAAACTGTGGCTCGCGAGCCACATGCGGCTCTTTGGCTCCTTGAGTGTGGCTCTTCCACAAAATACCACATCCTGGGCGAGTCTATTTTGAAGAAGTGGCGTTATAAGGAGTTTAAGTTTTAAAAATTTGGCTCTCAAAAGAAATTTCAATCGTTGTACTGTTGATATTTGGCTCTTTTGACTAATGAGTTTGCCGACCACTGAGCTAACTTGAGAGTTTATAAATGAGGCAAAAATAAAATATTCCTGTCACAATCCTTTAAAATTAATAACCAGGACTATAACATGGCTATATATATATATATATATATATATATATATATATATATATATATATATATAAATTAAGGGCAATTTCAATGTTCTATGATGGCCATTTAAGGAAAAGAGAGGCTAGGGGAATGTGTGTGAGGGAAAGGGGAGAAAGAAAGACAGAGAGACAGGCACTGTTCCCTCTCACCTCGGACATGACCCTGCACTGGGGAGAGGAGCATATTTTAGCTGGTCCGGTGTGACTCCCCAAGGTCAAGGGCTATGGCTTACTCCTCAGAGCCGGGGCGAGCCTGGCACGGAGTGGACATTTGTAAAGGCATGCAAATATATGGTTCGAGAAAGAGATTAGAGCAAAATAGATGAGTTGTGAAAAACTTAAGAGGAAAAAGACAACTTCAGAAATGGTGAGATAGACTTGGAGAGAGAGAGACTAAATTAAAGAGACAACCAGCAGGACTTCAGGGATAAAATGATATAAAGACCCAATAAAAATACCAACACTTGTGATTTCTGGAACTAAGTGAGATGATTCTAAAGCTCACCTGAAAAATAAATAAGAATAGCAGAAAAACTCAGGGGACAAAAATATAAATAGGACTGGCCCTACCAACTGTTTTATTTTATTATAAAACATCAATAATTAAAACTGGCACTGTAACTATGGTACTGGCACAGATAGATTAGAGGTAGAGAATAGAAAGTCCAGAAATAGACCTTAATATCTATAGGGCTTTAGTAAATAATAAGATAGCATCTCAGGCAATGGGAAAAAAGAACTAACCAATAAATAGTGTTAGTTATCTGGAAGAAAATAAAGTTAGATCCATTATCACATTAAATACAAAAAGATAAATTTAAAAAAGATCAAAGATTCAAATGTGTGATATGGAACCATAAAAGTATTAGAAGAAAACAAGATAGAAATCCTTTATAACATCAAGAAAGAAAACCTTTCTTACTCAGAATCAAAATCCAGAAGCCATAAAAATACACAAGGCATATGCCCAAAATCTGCATGGCAAATGTCATGAGCAAGGTCAAGGACAGATGACAAACTGGGCGGCAGGGGGGGGAGCAGAATAATACTGACACAGAGATAAAGTACTAACTTTACTAATATAGGGAGTGCCTAGAAATAGATAAGAAAAAGGCTCACAGCCCAACAGGAAAGTGGACAAAAGATAATATGGATAGTCCACAGAAAAGGGAATACAGAGTTCTCTTAAATAAGAAAAAGCTGCTCAACCTCACTCGTAATAAGAGAAAGCAAAATAAAACTACACTGAAATACATTTGCCTGTCCCTTGGCAAGCAATCCTGGCTGTATCCCTCATGATCCATGAGACCCTGTGGATCACTCGGGGAGGGGGGTGGGGGGTAGGGTGGAGGGGTAGGTGAAGCGGTGTGTGTGTGTGTGTGTAGCTTTGGTTTCCTGTGCCATGGGGTAAGAACACCCAGCTGAAAGACTCATAAAAATGAGAGAGAAGAGTGAACATGTAAAGAGCACCTGACATGGGCCTGGTGCACAGTAGGTGCTCAATAAATGGCAGCTGTTATTATTTTTTTCTTTAGGCCACGGCAGGTTCGTTGGTTAATCTAGCATCACCGTTATGGGAGAATGCATTTTAAGTTCTTAACACCGGGAGTCCAGCCCAGAGAGCTGGAAGGACTGTTCAGGAGAGACTGTAAATCATACCTGGAGTCTCATGCTTCTCTATTTGTTAGTTTGGCCCAACAGTTAATGAAATGGAAGCTCAGGAAGGGAAATAGGCTTAAGGGATTGCAGGTGCCCACCCTGAAAGCAGGAGGCAAAGCCAGGTCAGCATTTGGCTAGGACACCAGACATGGGCCTGGCGAAAGGGTGCCTGTTTCTGCTTCTAGGAAAAGAATAGCCTCTTCCTAGCTTGCCTTGAGCTCAGCAGGGAAGGAAAAGCTGTGATAATTCACCTCCACTGGCGCTCAGTAAAGCCAATTCCTCTTCCCAACAATACAAGCTCTCCTGCCACAGTGAGTGCCCACAGCACAGGGTGTGGGGGACAGCAGGAGCTCCTGCCCCACAGAGTGCGCTGGGCTTATTTCAGCTCTGGAAGCATCTGTCCCGAGGAGCCTCAGTGCAACTCCGAGGTCTGCAGATGGAGCAAAACTGCACCACACCTCCCGAGCCCCTCTCAGGGCTCTCCTTTCTGGACTGTGCTCTCTGCTGACTTCCTGAAATCCTTTGCCTTCAAACATCACCTGTCCAGTGTCTCTCATGTTCCAGTCCTGCTCATAGCTAATAAAAAATTACCCGGAGTCAGGACGTGGGTTTTAGTTCTGTCACTAACTTTGCACAAATCATTTCCTTTTTCTGGGTTTCAGGTTCATCAAAATGAGTGAAAACTTACCTAGATCCTCAAACTTTTCCGTGTAGCACCCGGCAGACAGTGGAAAATGAGCATGTAGGAGTCTGCATATTGGTCCCAAGAGGCCCAAAGCCAGCTCCACAGTTCTTTGCAATCTTATTCTTTCATTTTTATTTATTTATTATTATTTTTTAAAAGTATAGTTATATTGATTTTACATTGAGGAAGAAGGAGAGATGGAGAATTAGAAACATTGATGAGAGAGAAACATGGAACAGCTGCCTCCAGCACAATCCCTATTGGGGAACAAGCCCACAACCAAGATACATGCCCTTGGCTGGAATCGAACCTGGGACCCTTCAGTCCATAGGTCAATGCTCTATCCACTGAGCCAAACTGGTTAAGGCTTATTCTTTCATTTTAAAAGAATTCATGTGTGAATTTTGCACGCTACCCCATGAAATATCTGTGTTCTAACGCGAATACAATAGGTTCCTCCCTAATTCTTCAAGCAAACTTGATTCTTCTGGAAGTTAATCATGTTTATCCTGAGGACACATGCGATATGTCCATATACACTGGGTGCCTATCCGAGTATGTGAACCATGAGGGTGCTTTAGGAGTTCCTCTAGCCGAAACCGGTTTGGCTCAGTGGTAGAGCTTCGGTCTGCGGACTGAAAGGTCCCAGGTTCTATTCCGGTCAAGGGCATGTACTTTGCTTGCGGGCACATCCCCAGTAAGGGGTGTGCAGGAGGCAGCTGGTTGATGTTTCTCTTCATTGATGTTTCTAGCTCTCTATCCCTCTTCCTTCCTCTCTGTAAAAAATCAATAAAATACATTTTAAAAAAAGAAAGAAAAGAATTGAGATCCTTTAAAAAAAAAATAGTGCCTCTAAAATATTATTCCTTCCTAATGTACCTCAGGTGGCATTTTAACAGAGGATTCTGGATCTAGTGTCTTAACCCTAAGAAGTGATTCTAATGGAATTTTAGATATGGCAGCAGAGAGGAACTGAAACATCCGTGCCATGATCCTCAGTCACTTTATATAGGTGACCTTCCAGTTACCCTAACGCTAAAATAAGACCCAGGACATAATCCTCATCAGGTAACCAGCCTTCCTCATGAAACACCTTCCCCTCTTATTTATTTCCAAACTCCCTGAAATATACCAGAGCAGGCCTCGCTGCCCTTTAAAATCAAGGAACAAGGTCCCATGAGTCTCAGCATCAGGCCCACAGGCCCAGGGACTAGGAGTTACAAAGACAGACAGACAGACAGACAGACAGACAGAGAAATACTCTCACCATAGAACCCAGCAGAAGCTCCCTGCAGGCCGGGACACTGAGTTCTGGCCCAGGGAGCAGCTCTGTGCTGGTCAGAAAGCCCTTGGGCACCTTGAAAGGGACACCATCAAGGGCACTCATCCTGGCAGAGGAGTGTGGTGATGGCTGAGGCAGGCCGCCTGATGGCAGTGGGAGAGCGTAGTCCTGAGGACCAGGCTCAGGCCTCAAATGGCCTCGGTGCTCCCCTCTGTGGTGACTTAGCTGAGTCCCTCACAGCTAAGAAGGAAAGGTAATCTGGCCAGTGCTGCATAGGAAGGAAATGGATAAAAACAAGACCATTCAAACTAATTCATGTTTAAGTCTTACACTAGGGCATTGTTTACCAAAACAAGGTCTAAAACTCTAGTTCTAAAGTCTTGCATCAAAAGAGTTTTCACCCCCAGTGTAATAAATATCAAAATCAATGGATTAAAATTAACAAAAAAAGAGTTTTCATTCAAATGTTTAAGGAAGAAATGTCAAATTACAAAAACTCTTCCAGAAAAGAAGGAATAATTCCTAACTAGTTTGGCATCAACTTGATACCAAACTTGACAAGAAAATTAGATGCTGATCTCTCATAAATATAAATGAAAAAAATCTTAACAAAAATAATTATGGATAAAAAAATACTGCCAAGTTGAGTTTATTTCAGGAATGAGAGGTTGGCTTAACATTTCAAAATCAATCAATGGGAGTAAAGATAAACCCCACTAGAATAAAAAAATTAAAAATTATATAATTATTTCTCTCCATAGATGCAGAAAGAGTGCTTGATAAAATCAATACCTTTCCATTATTTTAAGAACAACAAACCCTTTTAACAACTTAGGAATAGAAAAGAATTTCCTTAACCTAATAAAAATAGCTCCAAAATATCTATCACAAACATCCACTTAATAGTAAATACTGAAGGATATCCCCAAGATTGGAAATGATGAGACAAGGATGTCCCCATCCTCTCTTCTGTACAACATTACACTGAGGTACTAGCCTGTTAAAAAGAGAAGGAAAACAGCTGAAACCGGTTTGGCTCAGTGGATAGAGAATCGGCCTGTGGAATGAAAGGTCCCAGGTTCAGTTCCAGTCAAGAGCATGTACTTTGGTTGTGGGCACATCCCAAGTGGAGGGTGTGCAGGAGGCAGCTGATCGAAGATGTTTCTCTCTCATCAATGTTTCTAACTTTCTATCCCCCTCCCTTCTCTGTGAAAAGTCAATAAAATATATTTGGGGAAAAAAAGAGAGAAGAAAAACAAATAAAAGTATGAGAATTAGAAAGAAAGAAAACCACCATTATTTATAGATGACATAATTATATGTAGAAAACACAAAAGAATTTATGAAGGTTATTGGATATATGATAATATATAAGAATCAATTATATCTTTATATACAAACAACAAACTATGTAAATGTTACATTTAAATAATTAGAAATTAGAGCTTTCAATTTTTAAAAGATACTATTGATATTAGCATCAACTATCTATGACTTGTTGTAGGTATAAAACAACCTCTACACAGAAAACTGTAAAATATTAGAATAAATGGAGGAACATACCATGACCATGATTGTAAGATTCAGTAATGTAACGATATCAATTCTCCCTGAATTGATTTATAGATCCCACATATCAAAATTCCATCACGTTTTGGTGTAAATTGGCAAACTAATTCTAAAATTTAAATGAAATGTAGAGGGCCAAGAAAAGTCATTCAAGCGAATGACTGCCTATAATATGTAATCCAGAATCCTGAATGCAGTCTGACATTTTGCAAACAATCAGGGTTTACCTAGGAGTACCTTTGGCTTAATGTCAAAGCCCGTAGAATTGATTTTTGTGTATGATGTAATGTAAGGTCACTGGGGTCATCCCCATGCCCACATGAGAGCATTATGTAAAGATGTAGAGTAGGTAATCTGAGTATAGAGAGGCCAAATGAGACTAGACAGGCAAATCCCTTAATTCCCTCATCTCCGCTGTAAGCTCACTCTTGTTAGTATCTTATTTTTGTAAGACTCAGAAGACTGACTCCCAGCACACTGGAGTGGCTCTTTGCTACAGGTTCGGACAGGTCCCTGTGTGATCAGTAAATTATATGTCCCAACACCCTGTTCTTACAGGGGACTTTCAGGTACGGGGCGTTGCAGGAAACACAGGAAAGTTAGCAAATGTTGGCATTCTCAGGTTTATCATTCACATTTTCAGCTACCATTAGAATTTTGAGCCATGGAGAAGAGCTTCAATTTTATTGACACCCAAGTGTGAACTGCAGCAGGTCCAATGAGCAAGTACAGGGCCACCCTCGTCCTCCCTTACCTCTGGCCCAGCATCTGTATCCTCGATAGGTATTCTCTATTTGCTTCTGGAGTAATTGAAGAGTTTGAGGATTCTGCAAATACATCTCTTAAGAACAGTAAGGGCTATAGTGATCTAGTTAGAACATATTCTAAAGTGATGGTCACCTCTGCTAAGTACAAAATGAGAAGGACAGACTTTTAAGGGATGATATTCTTCAGAGGAAAGGGAGTATTCTAGTCCTTGTGGGTGGGAAGCTTCAGGAAAGATGGGACTTGATCGGACCCTGGAGGGTGGGGTGAGCAGGGTAGAAGTGGGGTGGAGAGTGTAATACCAGGGAAGGGGTGACGTGAGCCAGGGAGCAGAGGCAGACAGAGTGAGTGGGGGGACACACTGCTTAACTCAAGTAAATAGTGTGTGCCGGGAAGCAGTTCCAGTAAGATTGGGGGAGCTGGGCGGGCCCTGAACGTTAGGCTGAGCGCTGACTCCATTTGGTAGACAGTGGAGAGAGAGAAAGCTCTGAAGGGGCCTCAAGGGGTGTGGTGAGGGTGGGGGAGTGGGGTGTTGGGAATGCCAGTCTGTGATGCTTCAGCAAACAGCATAATACTTGATCTCTCCAATGCCCTGTGTCCATTTGGCTGTGACTGAGCTTGAGGGCAAGGGGCAGGGAGGGTGGGGGTTATGGTAATAACAAGGAGCCCAGGCAATGACATTAGATTATGTTTAAAGGTCTCCATTATACTCTCAATGACTTCATCCTTGCCCATAACATCAATAATCTCTGTGCCAAGGACTCACACGTGAAATCCTCCAGTTCTCTTCTGAGATTAAACTCAAATGCACAACTGCCTCAGGACTTCCCCAAGATGTCTCCAGGGTGTCTCAAACCCAACATATCCAAAGTGAAGTCCTGGTTTTCCCTCCCACAAACAGCTCTTCATCCCCCAGTTCTCTCTCACTTGGACCACTGGTGTCCATGTATCCTCTTACGCCCTATTATTGTAATTGTGTTCTACACACCGGGACAAAAGTGATCATTTTGAAGCAGCAACCAACCATTCCTAAAAGCTTCCAACTGCTCTCAGAATCAAACACAGAGCCTGGCCCCTCCCCTCCCACCTCTAGCTATGTTGTTCCTCAGTCTCTTTGGTCTCTTCGTCTAGGACAAGGCTCTTGCATAGGCTATTCCAGATACTCGCTATGTTCTTCCTTGTCTCTTTCCAACTAGGTAAGAGCTGTGCATCTGTCAGAGCTCAGTTGAAATATCATTTCTTCAAAAAAGCTTTCCCTGAGCCCCAGACTTGATAGGTTCATCTTGTATGGTGGCTTTCAACTTTTTTCATTATGACCCACAGGATAAAATATATTTGATTTTGTGACATAAACTGAATAATGACATTTCTTACCTTTAATATATTATATAGATATTTTCTATTTTTCATCTAAATGCATTACAAAACACTCAGTTTGGGGGGGAGGGGGAAGAGGCCTAATCTTATAGAACCATATCTGTCCTTCAAAACACTCAGCACATTTTTATGATTATTGGATTATGTCTATCTCCCTCAAAACATGTGTTTAGGGTTATTTAGTATTTTGTTCATTACGATAGCCCTTGTATTCAACAAATTATCTGATCCTCAAAAGTCACTTAGTAAGTATTTGAATAATGAAAAATATAAATTGGTGAGTAAGCACTTTTAGCACTTATCACAATTGTAACTAATTATCTGTACAGTCATTAGGCTTCTCTACTTTAACTCCAGGATGGCAGGAATCCTTTTGCTCCTTTTTATATCTGTAGCACTTAACATCGTACCTGGAAAATAGTAAATCAAAATAACTTCCCAAGTACAGGGTTCAAGTCCAGGTATCTAGATTCTGTCAGGCATGAGTTAATAAAGTTGAGAAGTGTCTCCTGTTCTGTATAGTTATGCACTTCAACACCAATCACTTCAAAACCTTCAATCTTTGCTTCAGAGACTGTAAGGAATGCAGTTTATTCCAAAAGTACAGTTAATTATTCAGAAATAGCTTACTGGTTATAAGCATTAAAAAAAAGATTAAGTTGGAAATGCCTCATATAATCTCTAGCCCATACTATATACCACTGCTAATACTTCATAACTTTCACATTCCTGCTATATTTTATACTTGTTTGAATGGAACAAGACATACTTTATGCTTACCTTGTAATTCCTAGGATAGCTTCCCTGTGGCCAAACTCATAGGAATGAATTGCTACAACAGATGGTATAATCCCAGCTAAACTTCTTGATATATCCTTGCACAAAAGTCACGTGGACAAGAAACATGAATGGCTTTAGAGTGATTAAACTGGTTGGCTTATACCAAAGTCTTTGACGTCATGAACTCAGCCACGGGGATGAACACTCTTGGTATTAATGTATAACTAACCTCTTATTTAATTTTCTCTTCTTCCCTGTACTTACTTAATTTCTTAAAAATAAATTATTTTGTTAAAGCTCCCCACAAGTCCAGGGCTGTCTCTACTGGGAAGATAAACAATATTCTTGCATATAAGACATGATGAATCAATACATTTCTGGTTAGTCTTTGAGTGAGCTTCTCTATTTTCATTAATTTTTGTTCAATACATAGAGTACTTATATATAGGTGTTAAAAAGGCATGATTTAGAAGAGGGCTGGAGACTCAACAAAACTGTAGTTCTTAGTTCTAACAGAAAAAATAAGAACTGACTAGCAATGATCATCAATAACAATGAGCTCCCTATCATGCAGGCTGTGGCTTGTAAATGCCTTTTTCCACTGAAGAGGAACCTGATTCCAGTCACTTCTTCCTCTGGGGTAGGAAATGTGAAAAATAGATTTGGAGCAGAATACTGAGATCAAGTGGGAACTAAGGAGCTGAGTTAAAGAGACTCCCATTGGCTCAAGGTGACATAATCAATAAAGAAAACAATAAAATGAATTGAAAGTTAAATATGTTTAGATCGGAGCTCACAAAGAAACTTGAACACAAAATTCACTCAAGTTTGGACAAGGCTAGAAACCACTATTTTGAAAACTAGTAGCCCTAGCTGGTTTGGCTCAGTGAACAGAGCATCGGCCTGCGGACTGAAGGGTCCCAGGTTGGATTCCGGTCAAGGGCACATGCCAGGGTTGTGGGCTCGATCCCCAGTGGGGGGCGTGCAGGAGGCAGCTGATTGATGTTTTTCTCTCATCCATGTTTCTAACTCTCCCTCTCCCTTCCTCTCTGTAAAAAAATCAGTAAAATATATATTTTTTAAAAACAACTAGTAAATCAAGGAAATTACATATTTATCTCTTGTCTTTCCTATGCAAATTATACCCAAGGATAACAAAATAGTTGGTGAGGGGATATTTCTCCTTTTAGAAGTATTCCAACTAATAAAGAAAGAATGACAGAATTAAACTATTTGGTAACCCCAAATGCAACTTGATTATCAATGACTTCTAAGGTCACAAAAGGAGACAAGCAGGCATTAGTCCTCCTGAATTACATACCAGGTCTATGAAATAGTAAATCCAAAATATTCCACTCTAAATGTGACCAAGTTTCTAGATCAGCACTGTTCAATAGAAATGTGAGCGAAATATGTAATTGTACATCTTAATTCAAACCCAAATTTCAATTCAAACTCTCAATTTTTAGTGCCCAATAGCCATACACGGCTACCATATCAGACAGTACAGCTCTAATCACTAAATTACAAGAAATATAGAACAGAGGAACATGCTATCCCAAGGATGCGATTAGCAAAATCCAGACTGGGACTTCAAGAAAAAAAATGACCTGATTTTTTTTCAAGCAAAACATTACAAGGGAGAGAAAGAGTACAAAGTACATGGGAATAAGTTTCTAAAGATGATCAGAAACTTAACAGACATATCAACCAACAATGCATAGACTGCATCTACATCTTGATTTGAACAGTGTAAAACACACATTTGTGAGATAAGGAAATTTGAACACTGATTTCCCCCCCCCCCATTATTATGGAGTTATTTGTTTCATTAGGTGTGATAGAGCACTGTGGTTACATTTTAAAAACATCTTTTAGAGCTATAAACTGAAAAATGTATAAAGTAATATTATGTCTGAGATTTGCTTTAAAATAATCCAGAGTGAGTGGTGGGGTACAGATGAAACAGGCTTGTCCAGGAGTTGACAATTATTTGAAGCTGGATGATGGATATATGGGGGGGAAATTATATTATCATCTTTACTTTTGATGTTTGAAATTTTGCACAATAATTTATTATTAATTTTAGATAGGGAGAGAGAAACATCAATGTGAAATACACTGATGGGTTGCCTCTGTACACACCCTGCCAGGAGTTGAACCTGCAAGCTAGGTATTATATGTGCCCCGACCAGTAATCAAACTGGCGACCTTCCAGTAGACGACACTCCAACTCAGTCACACCAGCCAGGACTGCACAATTTTTTAATAAAAGACTGTGAGATAAGATTACAATGACACTGTCCATATTCTCAGAAGAATCATTTGTTAAAGGTACCACTATAAGTCTTACTTTCTAAGCCCAGTGCCTGCTGCCACTACCACTGAAGGCAACAAACCAAGGAAAACTTAGAAAACAAAAACTGGACAAAGAAAACACTCACTTTATTAAAACACTGAAGTTGCAAAAGGCAAGAGGGGATGGTTTTTTCCACCTGGCATTAAATACCTTTCCCTTGGGCCGGGCTGCCCGAGTTCCTGCTTTACACTCCCTGACCCATCAATGCAGCCGTCTTACTGGCAAGGCTATCGGGACACCGAACATACAACATACTGTGCCAGTCCTCTTATTTCTACATTCCTGCACCTCATCAGAGAGCAAATGGTGGAGATTTATAACAAAAGGGCACACAAGCCTATGGGGCCAAGGGAAGCTATCACATCAGATTTCAGATTATGAGCTTAGACACACTTTGGAGGAGTGCTGGCTCACATACTGTTAACTGTGTAATGCACACCACATAAATTTAACAGTGCAGATTAAACAATGGAAAAGAACGAAGGTTTTAGCATCTTTGCACCCAACAGTTTCTAGGTGAAATCATTTCTCAGGTTGATGGCATCCTTTCCTGCCCGCCCGTAGCTGGATCCCACAGACAGAGTTCGGGGTGTAGGTCCATTCTTCTCTAACAAGAGCCCATTTAATAAACTTGAACTTTGGAGTGAAAACGTGTCCTTTCAGTGTGAAAGGGTGCGCAGTGATTTGGGAGGCAACAAATTGGGAGCAAAGGCTCAAACTGAAAAATAAAAATATTTATTTAGGTTTTTGGAAATATAAATAACAGTAAATGACAAAAGGCAAAATAAAACAAAAACTGACATGTTATATCACTGATCATCTCCAGGCACAAGAGCATTTATTTATTGATGAAAATAAAAAAATAAACTTCATTATTTTTATCTGCTTTCCCCAGCTTTCACTACATGAATATTCCTAAGAAATTCCACAGTTGTATCGGCCCCTTCTGAAGACTTGAGGTTAAGGTCCTACCTACTCCCACAGGAAAATAAACTTCTATCCTTAGGGATTCTGAACAACCAGGCCTGTAGGAACTTACAAAGCGGTTCCCTTCCTCAGGATCCTTCTATAGGGAGCAGGTAGCCGTCACCCACTGAGACGCGCTCAGTGTAGGTGCAGGTACTCTTCAGGGGTCCCGAGTTCTCCACATGAGGACCCGGCGGAGCCACAGCTTTACGCCGGCCCCGCCTGCAGTGACAGCCTCTCCAGCGACACAGAAGTGGGCTTCCCAGATAACGCATCTTCCCCTTCTTCCTGCAAGTCAGAGGGCTACCCGGTAGGAAGGATATGGAGGTTTTGCATCACGCTTGCCTTCACACTCTAGTGGCGGGAGGGCTACTGAACTACCCAGAGCACGCCTGGGTGCTGAGTGTATGGCACGTACCTACCCGCTGCCACATAAGGAAGCTGAGTAAATTAGCCAGTCACTCTGGACCAAGCCCCTCAAAACAGAGGCAAACTCAGGGGCAATAGCCTCAGTTCACTTGCTCCTTTCCAAAGAACCTTACTAATCGGTTTCCAAAGCGCATTTGGCCAGGACAGAGCATGGAGGGAAAATGGAACTTCTGGGAAGGGCTGCGCCACGTGGAGCTGAAGGTGGTTGTTTAGTCTGCAGACAAGAAGATGGCAGCATCACTAATGCTCAGAGCTGCCGAGAGCGCTGCTGGTCCCCTCTCCTGGGGCGTCCGTACTAACGCAGCTTAATGGCAGTTGCCCAGATGTCGTTGCTGGGGAGCGGTGGAAGGACCCATCCTTGGGGAACAGAACTGCCGTCAGGATGATCAGATGGCACCAGGTATTGATCCCAATCATGCCTGAATAGGAACATTACAGAACAACGGTTTATTTCTGTTTTAGTCCAAGCAAGATGTTGAGCAACTAAACATTCTATTTCAGGGCTTACCTTTTCAATGGCTGACGTACTAAAGAACTAGATTATCAGGAATAATGCAAAAGACTACATTTCTTAAATATACATATAAAGGGGGAAAAACTCCAAAGAACTTATAGTCATTTAAAAATATATATATATTTTTACTGATTTTAGAGAGAGAGGAAGGGAGAGGAAGAGAGATAGAAACATCAAAGAGGAGAATCATTGATCGACTGCCTCCTGCATGCCCCACCCTGGGAATTGAGCCCACACCCTGAGCATATGCCCTGACTGAGAAATGAACCATGACCTCCCGGTTCACAGGTTGACTGAGCCACACTAGCCGGGTCTCTCTCATCATTGATGTTTCTATCTCTCTCTCTTTCCCTTCCTCTCTGAAATCAATAATATATATATATATATATATATATATATATATATATATATATATATATTATTGATTATATATATCTTTTAAGAAAGATATATTAAATGAAGTGTCTTTAAAAAAAAATAACATAAAACAATGTTATGTATTGATCAGTTGATGACAATGTGGCCAGAGGCCCACAGAAACCTAATCATATATTTCCTTTAGAAGCAGCAGCTGTTCAGTATTCCCCGATTCAGCGTTTGTGGCTCTATAGAACACAGCTACTGTAAATAACAAGAACTGACTGTAGTTATGTTTAAAAGCTAAAACTTGTATATTAGCCAGAAATGCACTTTTCCCAGACATAAATTGGTATGCAAAAGAGCACTGTTGGAGCTTTGGAAAGAACCTTAGAAATCACTTAGGTCCATGAATTTCAAACCAGGCTTTTTGAAGACCCCTAGACCCCAAGTAGATGCTTTGGGAGCTAGAAACAACAAAATGATTCCAATCAATAACCGATTTAAGGTACCTGTGGGACCCATTCATTCATTCTGTTTTACAAACTGATTTGTCCAAAGACTGCACTTGGGAAGAGTACTACTGCCAAAGTTTGAAGGCCACTTCTAGTCCACCATCTTCATATCATAGGTGAGGAAAGAGTGAGGCGCAGAGAGCTGCCAAGTATGGCTCAGTATTAACTGCATGTAAGTGTTCCTAGCTCTCTTGACTCTGGCCTGTAAGAACTCACAGCAGCATGGGTCTTAAACAGTGTCCATAGGCAAACATTCGGGGAGGTCTATTTAGCAGCAGGAGAGAACCAGAAAAGGGGAGCCAGTGCTTTAAGTCAACGGAACGGCACAGCCTGGGAGAACACAAAGGGCGTGTCACACTGAGGTTGTTTCTTCGCCTGTTAAAATAGGGATACTGATTTCTTAAGGATGAGTGAGGACTAAACAGATGTTTGTGGCATCCCCAACACTGGGAAACTTTCTATAAACCCACTAGAAACTTAAAAAAATAAAGATATAGGCAACATGGCGAGGGCCTTTCTGACCTTATTTGGATGAGTGCCGGCAGGGAGAGCTCAGCTTGAAGGTAATACTGTCTGAAAGGCTGCAAGAGGTGAGCGAGTGGAAACTCATCTGAAAAAGAAAAGGCACAATGCCACACCGGCACACTTCCCACCCAGAGTGTATTTCTCAAGGCAAGATGACCGAGCCCATGATGACAATGACCAAACGTGTTTCATCTTTACCCATGATTTCCAGGGTACAGTTTAGGCGTCATTGTTGCCTACCGATCTCTTAGCTTAGGTTGAGGTCACTAATGAGAAAAGCCCATCTAGTATTGTCCTTTCCCCCCTGGATACAGAGGAACTTACCTGGATCCCCAAATAACTTGGACTCAATTTCCCGCTTCTGCAATAAAAATTTCTCTTTTTCTTTCCTCTGTTTCTTTTCTAGTTCTCTTTTCCTCTCTTCCTCTTGTTCTCCTTCCAACATAACTCTGAGGGCTCTCTCTTCAGCTTCATATAGTTCAGAGCGTTTTTTAATGAGTTTTCTCAGTCGCTGAAGATGATGCTCAAAAGTCTCATCTGCTGAGGCTGGAGGACAGACCCCTGGGAAAGAGATGCAAATGGCATTTTAGTCACAGCGTTTTCTTATCTCCAAACCTGTGTTCTAATGAGCCAACTCAAGGTCCTACTTACAGTATGAATTAGCTTAGAATTTATAAATTCTAATCCCTCTTCACAGATCAATTTGAATCTCCAATTAATCTGACCCTACCCTGACTTTCTTTTTTCTCTAATTCCTCTTTCTGGAGACTACCACTTAACTTTTGATTTTATTTCTAATGGTTAGAGAGTGGGCTCCCAAAAGGAAGAAGCTGTCTTATATTCTTCATTATGAAATCCCCACAGCTAAAAAACAATTCTCCCTTTAAGTGTGAAGTTCTGGGAAAGCAGATATTGAGAAGAAATACATTTAACCAGCCACACTGGCCTCACAGTCTGCTGCTGAGAGTAGATTGACCAAATGTGTCAGTCTGCCCGTGTTAGCACTTGAAAACCCAGTGTCCTGGGAAATGTGGGATGGTTGGTCACCCTGATTTAATTGTGAGGTCAGCTAATTTTATAGCCAACATAGCTATAGCTACAACTGGGAACATTTTAGACTAGTTATTAGATGATATGCAAGAATTATTACTAAGTTTATGTGATAATGGCATAATTGATGATGAGTAATTTACCTTAGGCATTTTATTTTTGTACACATGTGAAAGTTTTCATAACATTTCATAAGGAAAACTTTCTGAAATTTATTGAATATTCAAGTAGGTTGCAATAGTTACTACCATAATGGCCCTGCAATAAAAAAGTTGCTGAAGCTGTTAATTCATCCTAGAGTGATGTGTGGTCAATCCTATCAGACATTAAAGGTTTTAAAGGAAAATGTATGTATTACTGCATCATTTTAACAATACCAGATACATGGAATAAAAAAAATCCTAATTCTTCTAACATAATCAACCCTTTTTATTTCCCCATGTTGATCCTCCAACCATTTTGTTCATATATTAGCAACTTCACATAGTTCAATTTAAAATGTATGTAACTTACGTTAACTCCATGTCAATTCCCTACATTTTTTTCCTCTCCTTATAATTACTTAATGGCTCCACCCTGTTACACCAAATCAATGTACTTACCATATTTTACTTAATAAGCACTCTAGTCCTGGACAGTTAATCTGTTCCAAATGACTTGTTATCATATAATGTTACAATGAATAATCTTAGGCATGTTATTTTTTCCTTTGCATGGATTATTTCTATAATGGAAATGTTAATACTTTCAAGACTAACCTAAGTATAGTTCTAAACTGTTTCTTTAAAAAGGAGCAGGAGGTCAACTGAGCCCAGAGCAGAGAAGGATGGGAGATATGACATCTAAATTTGGTTTTAAAGGATAGTGAGATCTTAAAATAGCAAAGATGGGAAAGAGGTCACTCCAGCCAAATTCCATTCACACCTCTTCAAATATCCATGTTTCAGCTTTGAAATGTATCTGAAGGAACATGCCAAGTTTTCAACACCTTCTCAAGTAAAGACAGGATAGGACAGCTTTCACCTTGGCACATGGGTAAAGTTGACCAGCCCTGTCAACCTTACTCAGAAAAATGAGGCCAGGAATGCCTGGTGTGGGAATGATGAGTCCAGGGGAAGATGGTGCAGTGGGTTCCCACACCTGCCTCTCTTCCAACCTTGGCTACCAAGAGCTAAACATCAAAGGTTCTGAGATACTGCTGACAAGCTCAGTTACCCTACTGGGTGAAATTTTTTTTTTTAATATATTTATTGATTTTGTACAGAGAGGAAGGGAGAGAGATAAGAGAGTTAGAAACATCGACGAGAGAGAGTCATCGATCAGCTGCCTCTTGCACACCCCCTACTGGGGATATGCCCACAACCAAGGTACATGCCCTTGACCGGAATCGAACCCGGGACCCTTCAGTCCCCAAGCCAACGCTCTATCCACTGAGCCAAACCGGTTTCGGCAGGGTGAAAAATTTGAAGTATCAAGCATTTTCCTTCAAAATTTTTGGGGAAGGGCAAGCGCTATGGTAAAGAAGGGGAAGGAACAGGGGAACAAAGGAAGAAATGCAAGTAGAAATGCAAAGTCACGGTTACCTTTCCTTGCTGCAGCCTCTTTCCTGAGTTTCCTCAATTTCTCCAAGGCCCGCAGAATGTCCACCATTCTTTTGGTGTCTGCTTGTTTTTTCCTCACTTCAGACAAGACCCCGTCGGCAGCAGCTTTAAGTTCCTGCTCCTGGGGAAAAAGAGAGCCAATGAGAAGAGCTGCCCACCGGTGAGATTTCAGAGAATCAGACAGTCCCAGGGTTAAAAAAGATTCTACTGGATTTACCCCCCGTTTCCTCGGCCATGCCCAAACACCTCTCTACACTGGTCCAGCCAAAGGATTATCCTCTCTGCAACTTCCACGTGGACACTGGTCTTTGTTTCTTCCTCAAAAGTGTGTTCTAAAGTGTGGTCCAAGGAACATCTGCATTCAACTTACCTTGTTATGTAGGGGTTCTCATTAAAAATGCAACACCTGGCCCAGGCCAGGGGTCCCGATTGGCTGGAGCATTGTCCTGTGCACCAGAAGGTTGTAGGTTCAATTCCTGAACAGGGCACATAACTAGGTTGCAGGTTCAATCCCCAGTCAGGGCATGTACAGGAGGCAACCAATGAATGCTTTTCTCTCAAACCAATGTTTCTCTCTCTCTCTTCCCCCTCTTCCTCTCTCTAAAACAAATAAACATATCCTTGGGTGAAGACTTAAAAAGAAAAAAAGCAGACACCTGGATCCAAAGATTGAGGCTAGCAGGGAAGATAAGGAATCTTATCCTATATAAATAAAAGGCTAATATACAAATCGACCGAACTGCGGAACAACCTGTTGCTATGACATGCACTGACCACCAGGGAGTGCTGCTCAGCCAGAAGTCGGGCTCAAGGCTGGCAAGAGCAGCAGAAGTGGCAGGAGCCTTTCCCACCACCGCAGCAGTGCTAAGGATGTCTGACTTTGTGGGGAGCAGGCATAAGCTGTCAGTTGGACATCCACTGAGGGCTCCTAGGCTGCAAGAAGGTGCAGGCTGGGCTGAGGGGCTGCCCCACGCCTTGCCCAGTGCATACAATTCATGCACCGGGCCTCTAGTGGAGTTAAAAAGCCCAGGACTCTACAATGCTCAGTGACAACCTAAAATACTCTACCGCCAAGAATCTCTCCAACGGGACGGCCTTTCAAACATCTAAAGACCCTATTGTACTCTCCTTAGGCTGGCTCACATGTAGATAAATAATTCTGGTTACTCTAAGCCACTACTCAAAGGACTCTAACATCCTCACCGTAAGTGGTAGGGAAGATGCTTTTGCCTAAAGCTCTCTCCCACCTCTCAAATCAGCTCTGTACCTCACCATTCCAGCTACCATGCTATTTCCCTCTTCTCGCCTGAAATGCGCCTGTTGCTCTCACTTGGCTTTGACATTTCCTTTAAGACTCAGTTCAGTTGTTACTTTATCATCCAAACCTTCCCTGACACCTTCCCCAAAGGATTAGATATTCCTTTTCTGGGCTCCGACACCACATAAATGTGAAATCCTAACACACAACGCTATAGAGACATGACACCCCAGCGGGCTCTCAACCCCTCAGTGAAAAGCACTATGTCCTATTATCTCTATCTCCAGCACCCTGCACTGGGCCCTCACTAAGTGTCTGAACTGACTCAAATTCTCTTAGATTAAGGCATTCCTTCCAAGTATTCTTAAAAGCACTGGTGTTTTTGGAGGGCTTGAAGACAAAGCTTGACATCAATACACTTCAGAGCGGGAGTTACATCAGACTCTAGGGCAGTAGCAGACACCAGGAGAGGGGAGAGGAGGGGAAGGAGGAGGAGGAGGAAACACTAGCTGGCAGTGGAGTGGAGGAAGGGGGTAAGTCAAAGCATTCAAAAGTAATGACAATGTCTTAAACAACTACCCAACCAATTTCCAGTTTCACTCTGGCCCCCACGTAAGAGCTTGAGATTAACAGGTTTTTGAATCACATAACCTGGGCTCAAATCAGAAGTGAAACTGCCACAAACCAACTTGTGTGATTGTTGGCAGGTTAACTTCCTTACGCCTTAATTTCCTAATCTGTAAAATTGGGATAATACCACCTACTTCTCAGGGTTATTACCAGGATTCAAGATCTGGTGTATGTAACGACCTTAGCGCAGTGCCTAGCATATAGTAAGTGCTCAAAAAACACCATTGTTGAGTCTCAAGATTTGTGGTTTAAAATTCGTGAACAAAGGATTTCTGGGGACATATGTTCCTTAAGGAAAGGCCACAAGTTCTCTATGTATTGTATTTTTAAAGTCACCCAGGGTCCAGCCTGGTTGAACATGGACTTATGAACCAGGAGGTCACCAATTCCTGGTCAGGGCACATGCCAGGATTGCTGGGCTCAATCCCCAATGGGAGGGCGTGCAGGAGGAAGCAAATCAATGTCCCTCTCTCATCATTGATGTTTCTCTCTCCCTACCCCTCTCTGAAATCAATAAAAATGTTCTTTAAAAAATAAAAGCACCAGATGCTCGTTAGTGTAGAATCTCTGTGCAGATGTGTCATCCCTGCAACGCCACTGTGTAATCCTCCTGCATAACGTATACCGGGCTTTGCAGTGCACAGGTGTTGCTACTGTTCATTATTAACACGCAACCAATACGGAGATAGGAGGTCGGAAAGGCAAAAACTAAACCATCTTTTTACTTTATAAATGGAGATAAGGAGGCTTAGCCCTGGGAAACAGTGCAAAGCCTCGGGCCCCTTTCCGTTCCAAACGCCACTCCCCTCACCCCCACTCCCCTCACTCCCGTGCACAACCGCTGCGCTTACCCGCTTCTTCTCCTCCACCTCCTGCACGCACTTGACCCTCCAGCGGTCAATCTCCTGCTCGCGCTCCGCGGCTCGCGCGGCCTCCGCCTCCCGCTCGGCCTCGCGCTCCCGGGCCCTCTCGCGGAGCCGCAGGCGGCGGCGCCGGACCCGCTCCAGCCTCCGCCGCGCCCCGCCCACGAAGGCGGCCTGGGTCAGCGGCTGGAGCCGCTCGGCCAGCTCGGCGCGCAGCGGCGCCGCCTGGGCGTGCAGCAGCGCCCAGGCCGCGCCGTCCGCCTCCGCCTCGCGCAGCGCCTGGCCCAGGCCCCGCAGCCGCCGCACCAGGCGCAGGGCCCCGCGCAGCCGCGCGCGCACCTCGCCCAGAGAGGGCCCGGCCGGCGCGCGCGGGGACGCCGGGCCGCCCGCCCGCCGCCGGGCCCCGAACACCGCCTCCAGCCACTGCCGGTCGCGCAGGCGCTGCAGGGCCGCGTCCCCCAGCGCGTCGGGCGGCGGCGCCTCAGGCCAGCGCGGGCTCCAGGGCGGCCCCGGGCCGGGAGGCGGCGGCCGCGGGCGCTCGCCGGCGTCGATCCCCGGGAAAGGTCGGCACTGAGGCGGCGGCGGCGGCGGCGGCGGCGGCGGCGGCACCGGGTAGAAGGCGCCGCCGCCGGCGCCGCGGGAGGCTTCCCCGGGCGCTCGGGGCTGCCCGGCCAGCGGGGGCTGGAGGAAGGGGGCGGAGGCGCCCGGGAAGGGGCCGGGCCGCTGCGGGAGAGGCGGCGGGAAAGCCGGGGAGGGCAGCGGCGGGGGCGGGCAGCCGAAGGGAGCGGGGGGCGGCGGGCCCGGGCGGCCCTGGGCGAAGAAGGGCGGCAGAGCCATGGCCACCCCCGGAGGTCTGGGAAGTGACAGGAATCGGAGCGGTCTCCCGAGAGAGAGTCTTCCGGGAGGAAGTGACGTGCGTCCCGCGCGACTCCAGTGGGATCCGCCGGGCGCGTAGGTGGGCGTTCATGCAATCCTTCAATTAATAGTTTCTTTAAAAAACCCTGTTTGTTTTTTCTTAATCCTCTCCCGTTTCTTTTCATTTTTATATTTAAATATATATTTTATTGATTTCTTAGAGAGAGGGATAGAGAGTTAGAAACATCGATGAGAGAGGAACATCAAGAAGCTGCCTTCTGCACACTCCCCACTGGGGATGTGCCCGCAACCAAGGTACATGCCCTTGACCAGAATGGAACCTGGGACTTTTCAGTCCGCAGACCGACGCTCTATCCACTGAGCCAAACCGGTTTCGGCTCCTTTGATTTTTTTTTTTTGATTTTTTTTTTTTTACTTTATTTTTTTTATTTTTTTTTTGAAGGAATATTTAATATTAACATTGTGAGTTATTATCTTTTGCATATCCAAGTTACACATTTCAAACAAATCGTCATTTATATTTACAGTATACAGATGCAAAGCATTAATTTCCCACTAAATCATCACTTTCTTAAAATGGTACATGTGATGTTATGAAATTAGCTATTAAGCATTCGAAATAGTGGAAAAGAGGTCCTTTCTTCAGTCTTTTTTTTTTTTTTTAAATATATATATATTTTTTTGATTTTTTTTGCCCCCCCTCCCTCCCTCCCTCACATCCCCTCCCTCCCCAGAGTTTTATGTCCAATGGTTGTACTTATGTGCATGTATAAAAGTCCTTCGATTGATCTAGTATCTCCCCCAGATCTTCCTCCCCTCCCCGCTGTAATTTGACGGTCTGCTTGTTGATATACTATCTTTATATCTATCTTTTGGTTCATCAGTTTATAATGTTCTTTATTATCCACAAATGAGTGAAGTCATGTGGTGTTTTTCTTTCAATGACTGGCTTATTTCACTCAGCATGATGTTCTCCATTTCCATCCAGGTTGCTACAAATGATGAGAATTCCTTCTTTTTTATGGCAGCATAGTATTCCATTGTGTAGATGTACCAAAGTTTTTTGATCCAATCATCTGCTGATGGGCACCTAGGCTGTTTCCAAATTCTAGCTATTGTAGATTGTGCTGCTATGAACATAGGGGTGCATATATCCTTTCTGATTGGTGTTTCTAGTTTCTTGGGATATATTCCTAGGAGTGGGATTACTGGGTCAAATGGGAGTTCCATTTTCAGTTTTTTGAGGAAACTCCACACTGTTCTCCACAGTGGTTGCACCAGTCTGCATTCCCACCAGCAGTGCACGAGGGTTCCCTTTTCTCCACAACCTCGCCAACACCTGTCGTTTGTTGATCTGTTGATGTTGGCCGTTCTGACAGGTGTGAGATGGTACCGCATTGTTGTTTTGATTTGCATCTCTCGGATAATTAGTGACTTTGAGCATGTTTTCATGTGCCTTTTGGCCTTCCTTCTGTCTTCTTTTGGAAATATTCTATTTAGGTCCATTGCCCATTTTTTAATTGGATCATTCATCTTCCTTTTATTTAGTTGTATAAGCTGTTTGTAGATGTTGGAGATTAAACCTTTATCAGTGGTAACATTTGCAAATATGTTCTCCCACATTGTGGCTCCTTTGATTTTTAAAGAGAGGGAATGGGAGAGAAGCATCGATGTGGGAGAAACACATCCATTGGTTGCCTCCAGCATGATCCCCGCCAGGGGCATGCTCTTAATGATCATTCTAGGTGTGAAGCCAGATGCTTTGCCGACAGCGAGACTAACAGATACAGAACCTCTCCTGTGGAACTACCTGTCTAATAAAACACATTAATCAATTTCGCAAGCAAATGTGACAGTGCCGCGGTGAATATCCGAACTACCAAAGAGGAAAGCACAGAGCAAGAAGAGCTGATAAGAGAATTTGACTTAGAAAAGTTGGGGAAAGGTTGTCCTAAGGATTTTAGGCTTCCTGTAAGGTCTAAAGGATAAGTAGGAGTTAAATGGAAGAGGGGGAAACACGGTTCAGAGAAGGACAGCATTTGCAAAAGCCCCCTAGGAGGTAGGAGTAGGCTTAGCGGGGATAATGAAAGAATGCCAGAGCGGGTGGAGCACAGAAAGCCTGAAGGGAGCCTGGTGATCCTGGCAGATGAACCAAGATACACCATGCAGGATCTCATATTTTAAGAACAATAGGAAACTACTGGGGGATTTTAAGCAGAGGGGGAAGGAAAAGCCATGCTACGTGATAGTTGTTTTGTTTTTTTAATTAAGCTCTATTTTGAGATCATTGTAAATGCATAGGTTATAATAATACAAGGAGATCCTGTGTACCGTTAACCAGTTTCTTTACATAGCAGTATCTTGCAAAGCAGTAGAACAATATCACAACCAGGATGTTGGCATTGATTAGTGAAGATACAGAATACTTATTGCCATCATTTCTAGGATCCCCCGTTTGCCCTTCTATAGTCACACCCACTTCTCTTTTTTTTTTTTTTTTTAAATATATTTTATTGATTTTGTACAGAGAAGAAGGGAGAGAGATAGTTAGAAACATCGATGTGAGAGAGTCATCGATCAGTTGCCTCTTGCATACCCCCTACTGGGGATATGCCCGCAACCAAGGTACATGCCCTTGACCGGAATCGAACCTGGGACCTTTCAGTCCCCAGGCCGACGCTCTATCCATTGAGCCAAACCGGTGTCGGCACACCCACTTCTCTTTAACGGCAATTGCTAACACGGTCTCCCTTTCTAAAAATTCTGTCCTTTCATGAATGTAGTATAAATGGAATCAAATAGTACATAACCTTTTGGGACTCCCTTTTTTCCACTCAGTATAATCCTTTGGAGATTCATCCAGGTTGTTGTACAAATAGCGTTCTCTTTTATTAAAATAAAAGTGTGCAAAACAAGTGTGGGTAAAGTAAAACCACACTTGGTTTCATCATTCATTTGTTGAAGGATATTTCCACTTTGGAGCTATATAAAACTTGCATGCGGGGTTTTCTGTGACCATAAACCTTCATTGCATTGGAGTAAATGCCCAGAGTGCAAATGCCGAGTCACATGGCAGTTGTATGTTTAGTTCTTTAAAATATAGTTTTATTGATTTCAAAGAAGGGAGAGGGATAGAAACATAGATGAGAATCAGATTGGTTGCCTCCTGCTCACCTCCTACTGGGGATTGAGCCAGCCACCTGGGCATACACCCTGACTGGGAATCGAACCATTGACTTGTTGGTACATGGGCCAACATTCAATCATTGATCCACACCAGCTGGGCAAAAGTAATGGATGCTCAATTGGGTAAGAGCCCAGCTCTATCCCATGAAAAGAACCAATCAAAGCCTGACCCCACTTCCCAAAAGACCTATATTTCTCAGAAACTCTTTGTAATACTCGACATATTTATTTGTATCTTATGTATTGAGTAATTTGTAATACTCTGCATAACATTTAAAGGCTTATCTTAAAATGTATTAGCTAAGGCATGGCTAACTTTATATAGGGTATCCCCCAAAGTGTATACATTTTAACAGCTAATAGCTCAATTTTAAAAAATTAATAAATCCTTATTGTTCAGATTATTAGTTTCTCCTTTCCCCCTCATAGCTCCCCTTCACCCAATTCCCACCCCACCTTCTGCCCTTACCTCCCTCCCACTGTCCTCATCCATAGGTGTATGTTTTTTGTCCAGTCTTTTCCTGCACCCCCCTTTCCATTTCCCCCCTGAGAATTATCAGTCCACTTCCCTTTCTATGCCCGATTCTATTATATTCACCAGGTTATTCTGTTCATCAGACTTTTAATTCACTTGACTTTTAGGTTCACTTGTTGATAGATATGTATTTGTTCATAATTTTTATCTTTACTCTTTTCTTCTTCCTCGTCTTCCAGAATACCTTTCAGCATTTCATATAATAGTGGTTTGGTGATTAACTCCTTTAGCTTTTTCTTATCTGTTAAGCTCTTTATCTGACCCTCAATTCTGAATAACTTTGCTGGGTAATCTTGGTTGTAGGTTGTTGCTATTCATTACTTTGAATATTTCTTGCTACTCCCGTTTAGCCTGCATAGTTTCTGTTGAGAAATCAGCTAATCGTATGGGTGCTCCCTTGTAGGTAATTAACTTTTTTTTTTTTTTTAATCTTGTTGTTTTTAATATTCTTCGTCTTTTGCTCTTGGCATTTTAATTATATGTCTTGGTGTGGTCCTCTTTGGATTCCTTTTGTTTGGGGTTGTGTGTGCTTCCTGGGCTTGTAAGTCTATTTCTTTCACCAGGTGGGGGAAGTTTTCAGTCATTTCTTCAAATATGTCTTCAATGTCTTGCTCTCTTCTTCTGGGACCCCCATAATTCTGATGTTCGTACGCTTGAAGTTGTCCCAGAGACTTCTTACAGTATCTTCAACTTTTTGGATACTTTTTTCTTTTTGCTTTTCCAGCTGAATGTTTTTTGCTTCTTTGTATTTCAAATCTTTGACTTAATTCTTGTGTTCCTCTAGTCTGCTGTTGGGTCTCTGTATAATATTTTTTATTTGTCAGTGTATATTTAATTTCTAGTTGGTCCTTTTTCACATCCTTGAGGGTTTCGCTAAATTTATTGGCCTTTTCTAGAAAATTTTGAAAAACCTTATAACCGTGGTTTTAAACTCTATATCCAGTTGTTAGCTTTCCTCCATTTCTGTCATTTGTGACCTGTTTCTTTTCTCCGCATTTTGGCTGCTTCCCTGAGTTGATAAGAGTGGCTTTGTGTACTAGGTGTCCTATAGGGCCCAGTGGCTCAGCCTGCCCAGTTACCTGAGGTGGACACTACTGTTGCACCCTTTGTGGGCTGTGTGCACAGTTTTGTAGTTAAGTCTTGATTGTTGTTGGTATCACTGGAATTGACCTCCAGGCCAATTGGCTATGAGGATCAGCTGTGTCTACAATGGGAGAACTTCTGTGCTGGAGACATCCTTATGAGACAGAGACTTGCAAAATTGCAAAAGCCTCTGTGCTCAGTTTGAATGGGGCAGAATCTCAGGGCTGAGCAGACAGTCTTGGCTACCCATCAGCCTTGCCCTTGCACGTGCTTACAGATCTCTGCCTTCCTCGGCTCCCCTGACTTTCCGCCTAACAGTCCAGATTCCCCCTGGCTCACCTGGAACTGAGGTTCAGTGCAGTCGGAATTGGGGTTCAGTGCAAGTGGGGACTTCCTTCCCTTTCCCGCTAGAAAACCCAGCCAGGCACTCGGCTGCCCTTCCTCTCTGTGTGCATGTCTTTGTACCTCAGTCCTTTGCAGCTCTGATTTTCTGTGAGCTTTTTTCTTTCCTTCTAGTTGTAGAATTTCCACTCAGCCAGCTTTCCGTTCTTTTAGTTGCAGTTTTGAAATTCTTGTGCATGCCGCCTTCTTGGTTTCTCCCTAGACCACCAACTTACACCATACACAAATATAAACTCAAAATTAATAGATTTAAACATAAGATGGGAAACCATAAAAATCTTAGAAGAATCCATAGGCAGCAAAATATGACATATCTTGTAGCAATGTATTTACCCATACATCTCCTAGGACAATGGAATCTAAGAAGGAAATAAACAAATGGGACTACATAAAAATAAAAAGCTCTGCACAGCAAAAGAAACCATCAACAAGAGAGCTCACCGCATGGGAGAACGTTTTGCCAATGTTACATCCAATGACGGTTTAATCTGATAAAATTATAGGAAACTCATACAATTTAAGGAAGATAAACAATCCAATAAAAAAAAATGGGCAAAGGGCCTAAATAGACACTTTTTGAAAGTGGACATACACAGAAGGCCAAGAGGCATCTGAAAAAAATGCTCAGTCACTAATAATCTAGGAGAAGCAAATCAAAATGATGAGGTGCCATCTCACACTTGTCATAATGGCCATTATCAACAAACAAGTGCTAGAGAGGATGTGAGAAAAAGGCACCCTCATACACTGCTAGTAGAAATGTAAACTTGTACAGACATTGTGGAAAACTGTGTGGAGTATTCTCATAAAATTAAAAATGGAACTCCAATTTTACCCAGTAATTCCACTCCTAAGAATATAACCCAAGAAATCAGAAATACCAATCAGAAAGAATATATGTACCCCTATGTTCATAGCAGCACAATGTGCAATAGCTAAGATTTGGAAACAGCCTAAGTGCCCATCAGCAGAGGATTAAAAAACTGGTACATCTACACAATGGAATACTACGCTACTGTAAAAAAAAAAAAAACAACAACAACAAAAAACTTACCATTTGCAATAGCATGGATTGACCTGGAGAGCATTATGCTAAGTGAAATGAGCCAGTCAAAGAAAGATAAATATTACATGATCTCATTTACGGAATGTAATGAACTATAAACTAGTGAACAAAAAATAGGTCCAGAGACATAGAAGGATCAGTCTGTCAATCCTCAGAGGGAAGGCAGGGGAGGTTGAGGAGAGGGTAAGAGATCAATCAAAAGACCTATATGCATGATATAGGCATAATCAAATGAATACAGACAATAGGGGGTTAGGACCTGTGCTGGGAGGCGGGAGCGGGCTGGTAGAGGTCAAGGGGGTAAAAAGGAGACATATGTAATACTTTCAATAAAGAATTTTTTTTTAAATGTGGGGGGGGAAATAAAAACACATCTAATGTCTAACTTTTCTACTAAACTCTCCACCCCCTTTTGAGAGGAGGAACATCTATTGGCTGCCTCCCATACACACTCCAAATGGGGATCTAGCCCGAAACCTAGGCATGTGCCCTTACAGGAATCATACTGGTGACCTTCAGTGTACATGGACTATGTTTAACCAATTGAGCCACACCAGCCAGGGCTACTTAAAATCCTTTCAATGCCTTTTTCCTTTCTGCATAAAATTACAAGTAGTTAATCTGGCATAAGGGACAAATAATTTAGAAGACATACTGACAAAAGAAATAAAGGTGTTGAGAAATGAGAGGGAATGATGGGATCTGCTAATGACTGAGTTTGGGTAAGAGGGATTCTTTAGTTGTAATTTGAGAAAAGATTGGTGCTGAAGCAGGTAGATTTACAGATTTGATGATGGGAAGATGACTTTCATCTTCTGATGGTATCTCAATGAAATATGAGGCAAAGACTTCAGTTGAATGGAGGAGAGAATATATTAACGTGGTCATCTCAGCAGGAATGTAAAATCATCCTTACTGCCTATTTCTCAACTCATAAAGCTCCTTTGTTATTAAGATTTCCGGTATTTTCATTACTCTTTTCTGGAAAACATACTTGCTCTTCCAGGTCATCTGGGCCACTAACCTTTAAGCACCACACCTGGCACCCACCTCACTTCCATTATTATAATGCACTGATGTTTGTGTTTACTTCCCCTACTAGACTAGTAATCTTGAAAAGCTTGGTCTGTGTACCTAATGTGGGGTTAATGAAAGATATGTAAGAACTTTCAATAGATGTTTAACATAAACCTTAAATAGTCTCTTTTTTCTGTGGAATTTGAAGGATATGAAAGTGCCAAGGGTTAATTAAACTGCAGCTCATGATATCTGTGTCCTTTTAAAAATGGTACTGCATTATGGACATACCACCACATTGGCATTTATTTAGTTCTTTTGTTTTATTCAAATGCCAAAACATAAGTTTCAATATACAAATCGTGGTTATACTCAGTTGAGTTTGATTTAAAAACATTGATTATGTTTCGTTAACAACTTCCAAACCAATGTGAGCCATTGTGACTAAAACGTCTCCAAGTCCATTTCTGGAGGATTACTCTTAATGTACTTAGTAGCTACTTCAATTTTCACTCTACAAAAAGGAAAATAATTATGTCATAAGAGAAAGATAATGAAGTTATAATATGAAAAACTTCCTGAGAAAATTTTTAACCATTCCTATGAAGACTAACAAGGATACTTGTTTCTGTTCCACACTATAGCAGTCAGATTTAACACTCTGCAAAAGTGCATTTCTGGTTCTACCTCAGCTACAGATATCTCACATCCCTTATTACATCAGAGAAAGCCCAACTCTTCATCAACAGGATTTAGAAGTTGCTTAAAAGCTTAAGATTCTCTTCCTGAGAAAAGCGTGGTAGAAGGAAAACTTAAGAGTCTATACACCAAAGAAATAAAAACATTTATAAACTAAAAAAACAAAAACAAAAATTTCAATGTACTTTGATTTAAACAATTTCAAATAAATTTGAACCAAATAGTATAAAAAATTCATCAACATTATAGAAGGGAAGAAAAAGCTTAAAGGTACCCAAATATTTTAATATTTATGCAAACAAATAATTTTCATTTTTAAGTTCCTCCAATTTCCCCCCGTTTAATTATATGCAGATTGGGGCAAAAATAGGTTTATAGTTGTATGCGAAAGTTTACTCTTGCATTATTATTTATTAATTATTGTATTACTTTCCATATGAACTGTAATCTTTTGTCCCACCCTATAACAAGGATTAGAAACTTATATTGTAGTGTGACCATATTAACTTATGCTGATAGCAGTTTTCTTTAATGTTCAATGAAGCCAAAAAATTAGGCAAATATCCAGCACACAGAAAAACAAAACAAAAACAACTAGCTGAGTATTTTAATTAAATGAACAGTATTAGGATATTTTATTTAGTTCAGTTATTGCATGACTGATGCTGCATGCTACTTGTAGAATTAGATGTAGTCTTTTTCTGAAGATTTAAGGCAGACTTCAATTCTATCTGCTCACTCCTTAGTATTAAAATGCATTCAAGATGGCAAATAAATCAGACAATCAGAAGAGATTGGCCTTTCTTATAGTACCAATTGGGAAGTTAGTGTCATGCAATAGCAAGTAAGACTAAGAATACAGCTAAACAAATCGTTAAAAATATGGTTCTTCAGGGTACTTTTTCCATGAAAATTTCAACTACTTTGGAAACTACCTCTTCCAATGTTTAAGATAAATAAAATTCTAATACTTTTCAGGAAACAAACATGGGTAAAAAGATTAAAGAATGGTATCTCAATCTTCAATTTTAAAGAATTTATTTTCCCATTTGTAGAGTAACATTATTGTAGAATCCACAGTTATTGCAACATCTGCATTGCTTAAAAGAACTCCTTAGAATTTTGTTTTAGCATATTTTTAAAAACTGAACCAAAATAATGTACATTTTATCACTGAACCCTGTGTCATTAAAGTCCACATAATGTCTTTTGTACCAATCAATGTGATGTTACTTAATATACATGATCTGATTTTTATTCTAAAGGCTTCTGACCATGTATGATATCCAAGACAGATCCAATGCTTTTAATGTCAGACTGTAGAGACAGTTATGACCCTAACCACAGAAGGAAAAGCTTTATATACAGGACAAAAGTCTGACAATTTAGCTGTTTGCAGCATCTGCTTGGCGAGGCCATCCTTCTTCTTCAACTCCAGAATCATATTCCTCTTCAGAGGATTCTTTTGTCGGAGCCCTATAATAAAAACCATAAATTTTAAAAAATAAAAATGGGGAGTAAACATGATGTCTAGGCTCAACATTCTTAACAAATGTATTACTGAAATAAATTGAAAACAAGGCTTAAAAAAATCCATTTCGCCCTAGCCAGTGTGGCTCAGTTGGTTAGTGTTGTCCTGAGCACCAAAAGGTTGTGAGCTGGCTTCCTGGTCAGGGCACATATATAGGTTTACAGGTTTGATCCCTGGTTGGGCTGCATGCAGGAGGCAAATAATATTTCTCTCTCACATCAACGTTTCCTCTCCCTCTCCCCCTCCTACTCCCTTTCTCCCTCTTCCTCTCCCTCTCCCTTTCTCCCACCCTCCCTTCCTCTCTAAAAACCAATGAACATGTCCTGAGGAGAGGATTTTTAAAAAAATCAATTTTCCAGCCAAAACCGGTTTTGCTCAGTGGATAGAGCATCGGCCTGCAGACTGGAAGGTCCCAGGTTCGATTCTGGTCAAGGGCATGTACCTTGGTTGAGGGCACATCCCCAGTAGGGGGTGTGCAGGAGGCAGCTGATCAATGACTCTCATCGATGTTTCTAACTCTCTAACCCTTTCTCTTCCTCTCTGTAAAAAATCAATAAAATACATTTAAAAATAAAAATTAAAAAAATCCATTTTCCAGCAAGTAGCTAGAGCCTATTATTTCAACTCAAATGCTTGACTTTTAGCACATGTCTATGGTAAAGAAGATTAAGCTCTGACTAAATCTGGTTTAACTCAAATTAATCAAAATTATGATCAGACCACTACAATTCCTTTATATAGTAATGTGATTTAAAAACAAAAATAAAAGGTGTTCTCTGAATAACTAAAGTTGTTCAAATTCAATCAACTGCCTCCTAAGTTATCTCAGAAGATAAGCAAACAAAATATAACATACCTTGTGACAGTAAAAACAGAAATCTAGTTTCTGTATAGTTAACATTAATTTTAAGCACTAAATAATAAATATTTATTGAATAGGTCAGTAAACTATAGCCTACAGGCCCATCATCTGTTTTTGTAAATAAAGACTTAGTGTAATACAAACATCCTCATTCATTTACAGACTGTCTATGGCTGTAATACTGTGAGTAATTGCCAATATAGTCTTGTATGGCTCTAAAATATTTTGCCCTTTACAAGGAAGTATGCTGACTCCTGGAATAGATAAAGCAATGAAAGATGTATCAAATTTGTCAACTGATATGAAACAAATGAGAGAAAAAAATATGTCCACAAAGTTTTGATCTTGTGAAAGACATAAAACAAGTCACTCATAAGTTACAGAATTAGCAGTAAAGTTCACTTAAATTTTTTCATTTGGATTACTTTTATGTCTCTTTAAGTCTTCTTCCTTAATGGAAAAAGTAGAGGCCGATTTTGAAGATCAATTTTTAAAAGACTCATAAACTATCCTATAAAATAAAGAGGTAATATGCAAATTAATTCTCACACCCTCACAAGATACTGCCTATGATCAGGCCAGCATGGGGGTGAGGGACGACCAAACGACTGAGCAGCAGGCTGCATGGGGCAACCAGGCTGGCAGGGGTGACAGTTGGGGGGTGACCAGGCCAGTGGGGGGCAGAAGGGGGTGACCAAGCTGGTGCGTGGGGAGGGGGGGGGGAGGGAAGGGAGGGGCAGTTGGGAGTGATTAGGTTGGCAGGGGGGCAGTTGGAGGTGATTATGCCGGGGGGAGGGGGGGGGCCAGTAAGGGGTGATCAGGTCAGCACTTAGAGGCAGTGTGGGGTGACCAGGCCAGCAGAGAGGGAGTAGTTGGGGGCAACCTGGCTGGCAGGCAGCAGGTGAGCAATGAGGAGCCAGCGGTCCAGGATTGTGAGGGATGTCTGACTGCTGGTTTAGGCTCAATTCCCGGGGTCAGGCCTAAACTGGCAGTCAGACATCCCGAGAGGTCCCGGATTGGCGAGGGTGCAGGCTGGGATGAGGGGACCCCCACCTCCATGCATGGATTTCATGTACTGGGCCGCTAGTTATTTTATAAATCAAAATGAGAACATTTTTCTACAGAAACCACTCCTTATGATATTATTGCTTCCTTTATGAATATAAAGATTTTTATGCAATTTTTATGACAAACCAATAAATTACAGCATTGAAGAGCTGTTCTTAAATTTTAGATCTGTTCTAGCTTGACAGAACACCTTACCGGATGTATCCTGGTTCCTTTTTTCCTTCTACTACTTCTTTGTCAACCTCCACACATACAATATCAGAATTAGGGACTTCGAACATTGGTTCTAATAATAGCTTTTCCTAAAGTGACAAAAAATAATAAATGGCATGGAAAACTGAGATTACATATAACATACTTGTATTCCACAGGCAACAAGTCAAAAGTCATTATCTCAGTAAACATTACTGAGTCTTATTTTGTACCAGAAACTGAGAGCTGCAAAAATCAATGTAAAAGTTTTTATATTCATATTAAAACAGCTTCTAAATAAATTCAGAAAGAAGTCATTCTATAAGGAAAGCTATTTGTACTTCTGCCTACTTAGGTCACTATGCATATACAAAAGCACTACATACTTTTGGATTCGGATGTTTCTCAAAAGCATTCCTAGTATATTCTATGACTAGTCTTACTTCAAAAATGATGAGTTGTAAAATCATCTCTACCAGGCTCTTCAATTTTTACCATGACTTCAAATAAGCATTTGTCTCAAGTGCTACAGCAGATTTAAAGTTGTTTACTAATGCCCAGCTGATGTGGCTCTGTGGCTGAACATTGACCTAGGAACCAGGAGGTCAGGGTTCGATTCCTAGTTAGGGCACATGACTGGGTTGCAGGCTCGATCCCCAATAGGGGGCATGGATGAGATAGCTAACTGATAATTCTCTCTTATCACTTATATTTCTCTCTCTCTCTTCCTTTCCCTACCAATCACTCAAAAAAAAAAAAAAATCAATAAAAACATATTAAAGAAAACTTCACTAAAGGAAACTAGTTTCGCCTACAAGTTGGGGCTGGATTTATTCCATTTTAAGGGAAATCTGACTTGATTCAAACTAATCAAAATTATGATCAGATCACAATTACTTTCTATAGTAATGTAATGTCATTTGAAAACAAAAATAAAAGATTGTTCTTTGAATAACTAAAGTTGTTCAAAACCAATCAATTGTCTCTTAAGTTATCTCAGAAGATAAGCGAACATAAAATATAACATACCTTGTGACAGTTAAAACAGTGTGTTGGTAACACTAATGTCAAGCACTGTATAATAAATATTGGTTGAATACAACAAATTTCTTATAAAATGTCAACGCTATCACCTACTTTTCTAGTGTGTATTTTTTATATAAATTTGTCCTTAATCAGTAGCACCTAAAGTCTAGGCCTTCATTATACAGTGCAGTAGAACCTCAGATCTCAAACTTAATTCATTCCAGAAGACTGTTCAAGAAGTGATTTGTTAAAAAAAATGGAATCATTTTTTCCCATTAGAAATAATGCAAATTGAATTAATCTATTCCAGATCCCCAAATAATTCCATTTTATCCTTTCTTACATACAGTATGTCTAATGTACTGTTTAACCTATAAACAAACATTTCTTCAATTTATCAAACCACCCCCTACTAACCTTAAAGGAATCACTTTCAGCACTTGTTCCAGGAGTGTCTTTCAGGTCTGTATGCAGCATTTTTGCTTGTTTATATATTATTGCCTCCTAAATGCTGAAACTGGCTAACTGCTTTTCATTTAACCAAATCAACAAGTTTTTCTACCTGTTCAACTGCCTGTTTTCAATGTTTCACACCTTAGCAACATGAGCACTCTTGATGGTCTCTTTATGCTTTAAAATTGTGCTAATTGTTTTTCTGCCAGCAACGAAAGTATTCTCTCTTTTGTTTGTTGCCTTCGAGACACTTTGTCATGCTGCATTATCATCATATCAGGTTTGATAACTAAGACTTTTTTTTTTTCTGTGAGTTTGGTCCAAAACTGAACTGTTTAAGATGGCAAATAATTGAGAAATGAGGTCTGACTATATAATCTCAAAATGTCCTACTGAGATGACAGAAGTAATATTTAGCAGTGAAATCCTTAAAAGAAAATAGCAAAAATGATTTTGCTTTGGAAGCATGTAGGGAAATAGTAACACACTGTACAGCCAGACAATGCAGGTAGGAGAGTGAGCTCTAAAGAGGAAAGAGGGTTGTGGCTGAAAATAGGCTGGGTCTCTAGGATTTGTTACAAAATAAAAGGTAATTCATAGCATACTGAAAAGTTTAGGGATATAGGATCAAGGTATTTGCAAATAAATTTTAAGCAAACACACATAAAAATGAGGATTTCAATGGGTCTGAAAAGGCTCTCTAGGGCTTAGTCCAAAGGCCTGTGTAGAATTTTCTGAAATTCTCCCTCCCTTGATCCTGACTTTTCTCTATTTCATTAATCATATTATGTGTATCCTTGTTGCAAATATCTTAAAGTTTCTTTTTAAGAAAGAAGAAAATATAAACTACTATGACAATCTTAAAAAACCATAAAAGCACTTGGGCAACTCTCTGGATATATTTCCAAAGGAAAAACATGGAGTGTTAATATTCTCAAAACTAAGATCAATAAATAATCTAGTTTTTGTAATAATAACATCAACTTACCATTATGGACCGAAGACCTCGTGCACCTGTTTTTCGTTCTAGTGCCAATCTGGCTATAGCTTTCAAAGCATCCTCAGTAACATTCAGTTCACACTAAAAATAGATTTAAAAGAAATAAGAATTTAGATAATACTTGATATTTTCTTAATATAACATATAGCTTTTGATCTATTAATTATTACTACCTACCACTATTACTAGTCTACGTAGAACAAAAGGAACCAATGCCCAGACTTCACAGATAAGAAAGAGCCAGAGGGCTAAGCGATTCACTTAGAAATGTGGGGCCAGAATCTTGTCTTGACTGACCTTATCTATCCCCTTTCAGAATAAAGGATGTTTAGACTCCCAAGTTCAAACTAGAAAACATACATTTTAAAGAGTGTTACTAAATTACTTTAGATAAACCTCTCTAAAATACCACACATTTCAAAACAGAGTTCAAATTATTGATAATATACCCCGAAGACTTTGGGACATTAAATTTTACAAAATCTTAGTAATAAATAACTTTGGTTATTAATTTCTACCTCCAGGAAATATAAAATTTAAGTGAGATATTTGTCTCTCATGGTTTTTTAGAACCTTGCCTCGAAGAAGCACCACTTGCCCTGGCTGGTATGGCTCAGTTGGTTGGAATGTCGTCCCATCCACCAGAGGGTGGCAGGTTTGATTTCTGGTCAGGGCACAGGCTAATGTCACAGGTTCAATCTCTGGTTTTTCTGGTTGGGGTGCCTGTGGGAGGCAATCTAGCAATGTTTCTCTTTCATAGTGTTGTTTCTCTCTCTCTGATAAACAACAACAACAAAAAAACCACCACTTGCTTCTATCAATTAACCTAATTTGCCCTTAATTCTTAAAAAGGTTTTTTTTTTCTTCTAGATTAACATGGACTTTCATTCAACAATTATTGAACCCCTTATGTGATTATATTTTAGAGACTGAATGATGAATGAGACAGACTATTTGACCTCAAAGAACTTACTCCACTGGGTGGTGAAAAATTAGCAAATTACCAGTTACAACACAGTGTATGTATGCACATTGTGCTAAGGGAGCACCAAAGTGGGGGTATCTAAGTAAGACAAGGGGACCAAGAAGGACTTTAAGGAGGGGTATAAGATAATTAGTTTTGTGTTTATTCATTCAATAAATATTTATTAAGAACTTAATAGCTAAGAGGACCACACCAAGATACATCATAATTAAAATGTCAAGGGCAAAAGACAAAGCGAAAATCTTATAAGCAGCAAGAGAAAAACAGCTAGTTACCTACAAGGGAGTACCCATACGACTGTCAGCTGATTTCTCAACAAGAACTATGCAGGCCAGAAGGGAGTGGCAAAAAATATTCAAAATGATGAACAACAAGAACCTACAACCAAGATTACTCTACCCAGCAAAGCTATCATTCAGAATTGAAGGTCAAATAAAGACCTTCACAGACAAGAAAAAGTTAAAGGAGTTCATCAATACCAAACCAGGACTACATGAAATGCTGAAGGGTATTCTTTAAGAAGAAGAAAAAGAAGAAAAGGTAAAGGTAAAAATTATTAACAACAAAAAGACATCAAATACATACCTACCAACAAGTGAATCTAAAAATCAAGTGAATAAAAAATCTGAAGAACAAAATGGACTGGTGAATATAATAGAATCAGGGACATAGAAAGGGATTGGACTAACAACATTTCAGGGGGAAGAGGGTCTGAGGGGTGTGGGAAGAGATTGGACAAAAATCTTACACCTATGGATGAAGACAGTGGCGGGGGTAAGGGCATGGGGTAGAGTTGGGAATCAGATGGAGGGGAGTTATGGGGGGATGGGGGAAGAGGAACACCTGTAATAATCTGAACAATGAAGATTTATTATTAAAAAAAAAAAAACACAACAACAACAAAAAGAACTTAATAGCTGTTTGCTGGGCACTGTGCTTAATTTAAAAACGGTCCGATCTGGAAGTGGAAGATAATGACAGTGGTGATGGTCATAAACAGATTTGAGAAAGGGAAACTGACCAATTAGGAACCAAATGCATGGGTCAAGGTGAAGGATGATAAAGGAGCTTGAGTTGAGGTAGTGGCAATGGCAATGGAGAGGAGACTAATATTTAGAGATACTAAGTTAATAAAACCCAAAACATTTGCTATCAGATTGATTATGTGGGTCTGAGTGTCCTCCAGGTACCTGTTGTAGAGAAGTACATGTGGGAGCTAATAAAACTTTATAGAAAAAAACCATATCAAAGTATGTATACACAGTATATCACATCAAAAGCATTTAGAATGTAAAGGCTGAAAGGACAATCCTGTGACTGTGACTGAGGGGTTTAGAGTAGGCTGCTGGAATAATTTATAATAATAAAAGTGTAATATGCTAGTTAGACAGGACGTCCTTCTGGACAAAGCTGGGGCTTCTTGGGAAGCCTGGGGCCTGGGTGCCTGCTGGCAGCCAGGAGGAGACTGGTGCCGGCAGCTGGGGGAAGAAAGGCCTACTTTTACACGAATTTCACCTATCAGACCTCTAGTATATATATATGTATTTATCTTTAAACTTTAAAATACAATGAAGATTTTAATTGTGACAAATAAAGCCAACTCCTAAATGTCTACTATAACAAAATGTACCTTCCCTGATTCCTAGACCTATATTTAATGAGGAAAAGGCTGGTATTCCAGATGAACATGACTGCTTTTTTATTTTTTACTAGAGGTCTCGTGTACAGCTTCATTCACGGGTGGGATCCCTCAACCTGGCCTGCAGGAATCAGGCCAACACTGGTTCTCCGATATCCCCCGAGGAGTCCCGGATTGCAAGAGGGCACAGGCCAGGCCAAGGGACCACACCAGTGCACGATCGGGGCTGGGGAAGGACCTTGGGAAGGCTCTAGGGCATGTCTGGCCTGTCTCGCCCAGTCCCAATCTGTGGGACCCCAGCAGCAAGCTAATATACTGGTTGGAGCGTCTGTCCTCTCATAGCCAATGGATGTCATAGCAACTGGTTGAACAAATGGTTGGATACTTAGCATATTAGGCATATATATATATAGAAGATGCAAATATATGCAATTTCAATAGCAAAAAAACCATAAATTATCGTTAAGTATGAAAAATAAAAATCTAACCTTATCCATGCTGAATAAGGCCTGGTACTGAGGAATAACAGCATTACGTGGCTCAGTTAGTATTTGTACAAGTGTTTTCTCATCTAGGCTATGTAAAGGAACTACCACAGGCAACCGTCCCACAAACTCAGGAATCATGCCAAATTCAATGAGATCTCTGGCTTCTACATGACGTAATAATCGATCTTTTTCTTCAATGTCTTGGTGAGTATTTGATTCGCCACTTCGATTGGCAAGGTCTGCAGCAGCTGCAGCCCTTCTGCCTTTTCCAAGATTTGATTGTGTTCCAAATCCAAGATACTGCCAAAGAACAGATGGATATTATAAATAACAGAATGAAGCTGCATGTACTAAGTACTTTACATGCATGTCTCCTGATCTTTGCAACAGAGGTACTATTATCATTCACATTTTACAAATAAAACAAATTGGTCTAGAAAGATTAAGTACCTTGTCAAAGCTCTTGTTGCTGAAGTGATAAAGGCAGAACTAGAACTCAGGTCTATCTACTTTCAGAATTGAGAATCTATAATAACCAACCCTCAAAGAATGATTTCTAGTAGATAAGTAAGACTTCCCTTAGAACTCAGATAATGATGTTTCAGGTTTTTCTGAGACCTGTAAACTAGTGTGATTTCCAAAATAGGTAAGAACTGTGAAAATGGAGACAGTAATTATTATGTAACCAAAGTTAATTTTATAATACTATAAACAGGAGTAGTGCCTACAGAACAAGCAGACTGATAAATAAATTATCCAACCCTAGCTAGTTTGGCTTAGTGGATTGAGTGTCAGCTTGAGGAATAAAGGGTCCTAGGTTTGATTCTAGTCAAGGGCATGTGCCTCTGTTGCAGGCTTGATCCCCAGTGTGGGGTGTGCAGGAGACAAACAACCAATGATTCTCTCTCATCAGTGATGTTGCTCTCTCTCTCCCTTCCTCTCTGAAATAAATAAAAATATATTTTAAAAAATTATCCACAAGGGTCTTAAGTCACTCCTAAGTATTCTATTAAAATCATTTGGGGTTGCATATATCAACCCCAATTAGATTAATTTAAGATTATATTTTAAAAAGAACACATAGGATGACATCAAACAAGAATGATAAGTTTGCTGCAAAAGGTTGGATCTCTAAGGTGTGTGGATCTTGCTTCAGTCAATATAAAAGAACTACACTCTAGGTAATTATCAGAAAGCTTAATTTTGATATGTCATATAGCTTTTGTCAAAAGTATAAGCATATTGCCGAAACCGGTTTGGTTCAGTGGATAGAGCGTCAGCCTGAGGGCTGAAAGGTCCCGGGTTCGATTCCAGTCAAGGGCATGTACCTTGGTTGCAAACACATCCCCAGTAGGGAGTGTGCAAGAGGTGGCTGATCAATGATTCTCTCTCATCGATGTTTCTAACTCTCTATCCCTTTCTCATCCTCTCTGTAAAAAAATCAATAAAATATATATATATATATTTTTTTTTAAAGTATAAGCACATGATGTATGAGAAAACAGATTAAGTTAAATTCAATTCCTCCGGCCTGGCCTGTGTAGCTCAGCAGTTGAGCGTCGACCCAGTAACCAAGAGGTCACCAGTTCAATTCCTGGCCAGGGCATATGCCTGGGTTGGGGGCTCAATCCCCAGTGGGAGACATGTAGGAGGGAGCTGATTGATGGTGTTCCTCTCTCATTGATGTTTCTATATCTCTATCCCTCTCTCCCACCTTTCTCGCTAAAACACAATAAAAACATTTTTTAAAAATCAATTCCTCTGGCCGAAACCAGTTTGGCTCAACGGTAGAGCGTCGGTCTGCGGACTGAAAGATCCCGGGTTCGATTCCGGTCAAGGGCATGTACATTGGTTGCGGGCACATCCCTGGTAGGGGGTGTGCAGGAGGCAGCTGGTCGATGTTTCTCTCTCATCGACGTTTCTAGCTCTCTATCTCTCTCCCTTCCTCTCTATAAAGAATCAATAAAATATACTTTTTAAAAAATCAATTTCTCTGAGTTTTTAAACTGTGTACATGAACAGTTAGTGTATAGGAAAACAAAATACCTTTCATTTAATAATTTAACCCTTTGCACTCCGCTGTCCTCTCTCAGGGGACATCGGAATTCTAGCATATCACTCGGATGTCCCCTCTCAGGGGACATTGCAGTTTATTAATGATTACGGGGAATTGAGTTAATTCAACGCACGTTTCGCAAAGTAGCATCGAGTAGCTGGTAGCCAATGTCCAGAATGGTTCGGAGTGCAAAGGGTTAAACATTTATTAAGCATATTTCATAAGCATATTTCAATAATTTAAACATTTATAAGCATATCTAGTAATAAATGTATATATATTTTTATGTAAGTATAAATATTAAGCAATCATTATAAAACACTGGGGATACAAGCCTGAACACAGTCCTTACCCTAAAAGGGCTTACTGAAAATGAGAACACAGGAAGGTATTAAAGTATCATAGATGTAATAAAGGACAACTGTAGAGGAAACAATGGCATGGAAAGAAGGAAAAGGCACATACAGGGGAATGAAGGTAGGAGGTGATCAAGAAAGCCTTCACAGAGGAATTGCCTAATCATTTAACAGACTGAGTCTTAAAGGATGAACATATTTGCCAACTAGATTGAGATAGTGGAGAGCATGAGCTAAAAGGATAAAACTTAGGACTACATGCATTTTGATGTGGTTGGAATAAAAGTGTATTATTTAACACTAGAGGCCTGATGCATGAAATTCGTGTCCCCAGCTTTGTCCTGAGATGGTCCGGATGGTTGTTCCACTGTTCGGCCATTTGGTCAATTTGCATATTATGTTTTTATTATGATAGATAGATTATAACCATAGCTTTCAGTGAGGGTTAAAACAAAACCCACATTAATGTATTTAATCCTCTGTAAAATCCCTATTGAAGACCCTTATGAACAGGAATTTTCATAAAGATTTATATGAAAAACTTTTTAAAATAAATTTATTTTATTGAGTTTTTACAGAGAGGAAGAGAGAGGGATAGAGAATTAGAAACATCGATGAGAGAGAAACATCGATCAGCTGCCTCTTGCACACCCCCTACTGGGGATGTGCCCGCAACCAAGGTACATGCCCTTGACAGGAATTGAACCCGGGACCTTTCAGTCCACAGGCCAAAGCTCTATCCACTTAGCCAAACGGGTTTCGGCATGAAATTTTAAAAAATATTTTATTGATTTTTTTACAGAGAGGAAGGGAGAGGGATAGAGTTAGAAGCATCGATGAGAGAGAATCACCGATCAGCTGCCTTCTGCACACCCCCATTGGGGATGTGCCCGCAACCAAGGTACATGCCCTTGACCGAAATCGAACCTGGGACCTTTCAGTCCACAGGCCGACGCTCTATCCACTGAGCAAAACCGGTTTTGGCAAAAAACTTTTTTATTTTTTACTTTTTACTATTTTTTAAATTAATTAATTAATTAATTAATTTATTTATTTATTTATTTATTTATTTTCTGCCACTAGGCTCTGGCCTTGCTATTCTTTTTTTTTTTTATATATAAAATATATTTTATTGATTTTTTACAGAGGAAGAGAGAAGGATAGAGAGTTTGAAACATTGATGAGAGAAACATCGATCAGCTGCCTCTTGCACACCCCCAACTGGGGATGTACCCGCAATCAAGGTACATGCCCTTGACCAGAATCGAACCTGAGACCTTTCAGTCTGCAGGCCAACGCTCTATCCACTGAGCCAAACTGGTTTTGGCATGAAAAACTTTTTTAATCTTTGTCTCTCCTGAAGACCTAAACCTTTCTTCTACATTCTTCTAATCTCTTTTCTCATGTTACCTTTAACTATTCTTTTCAACATGTTTTTAGCTTCAAATTCTTTTTTGAAATTATGAATTACAAATAAGTATCAGAATATGATCCCTGCCTTAGGTCACAGAATTTTAAATATAAAGTTATCTTTCTCTCTCTCACACACACACACACACAGAAATAATATCATTCTAATTTATTTGGCTAATTTATGCAAAATTTCGAAAGCAAAAAATAAAAACAAACCAAATTAAGAATATAAAAATTCTATCCATGCTGAGTAAGGCCTGGTACTGAGGAATAACAGCATTACATGGCTTGTTAGTATTTGTACAAAAGTTTTCTCATCTAGACTATGCAGAGGGATTACCATAGGCATCCCTTCCATTAGCAGCATTGTATTTTTATACTTCTAAACTGCTATTGAAACTAGTGCATGCAAAGCCAAGGAGAGAGAGACTTAAAGCAAGTGATATAGCAAAGAGCTGATTTATAATATATTCATTTAGGTAAAATATTATGTTATATAAAAGGGATGATTTGTGGCTAGCCATTATATAAAAAACATGGAAAATACAAGTCTTTTGGGCTACTATATTGATATTATATTTTAGTATAATCAATCAATAAATAAATACTGGGCATGTACCTTGAAGATATGAAGAAATAAGTTCCAGTTAAAAATCAAGGTTTATAAGACTATTCAGGAAACATCTAAAAAACTATGTGGGACTCACAACCCTTGCTCCAGTCCCCAAATTGCTCCCTTCCATTTGTCAGCAGGGGCAATGGAGACAGCTCTTTATTGGGCTTCAATGAATTGAATAAGAGGAATGAACAGAAATTTTAGCGATACAGCACCTATCTCAAATAATAACTCCTTAAATGAAATAGAAAATTGATATAATCAAGTTATACTTTTGAAATGTCCAAATACACACACACACACAGTCCCAAAAATATATATACACAGTTTAATAGCTGATAACTCACTTTTCACTCCTTTTCAGGTTTAACTGATTTGAAATAATGGGTGAAGTCTGATTAAATTTAGAACAAAGAAAATTTTTCCTGAAGTGCCACTTGACTTTTTTTTTATGAGGATACATAAAAGATAAAATTTATGGTATAAAACCATCAACAATCAATGAATTAATTGCGCACAAATACCAAACGAAATTATTCTTGATGTTTGAGATTCTACTACTTTACGTAACCAGCTGTGCCTGGACCAGAACAGTCATCGGTTTGGAAACAGGCATTGACAAAAATAATAATAAATTAATTTCTGTAGATTCTTTTACATTTTGAAAATGAACTGTATGTTAATAAGTACTGACTAATCATACCAACTGTGTATACTTTTTTTTGGGGGGGGGGAATATCGTATATATGGATGATATTTAAATATTCTAATTTGATACTCTATAATTAAAAAATTAAAAAACTAGAAATATGTTTCTGGTATACTCTAAGGAAACCTCAACTCTTTAAAATTCACAACTGGCAGCCAGCACATATGAGAATAGAAAATGAATAGCCATCCTCTGTAACTTCAAATGCTCTGTATTCCAGTAACTTATCAGCAAAACTTACCTTTTCATTTTTTCTCCTGCTGATGATTCTGTCTAAACCATTGAAAGCACCAGATGCAACAAACAGGATGTTTGTTGTATCAACTTGTACTGTTTCTCCACGTAACTTGCGGGAATTCTTCTCTGGAACATTGACTATTGTGCCTTCTAGTAGTTTCAATAAGCCCTAAAGAATGAATGATTTTTAGCATCATCATATAAGTGTATTCTTTATTATACTTTAGATAATGGGATTCAATGGGGAAAATAATATGTGGTTATGGTAACTAATGAAAACTCCATTTCTAGAACATGAAAATGTAATGCACTATCACATTAATAATTAATAAACTTATTTGGAATAGTTTCGGGAGTGCTGATGCATTTAGGAATCAATCAACTGAAAGGTTGTTTTTGATGGTAAAGACAATCCTGACATCAAGATAGAATTCTGACTCTAAGATGGTACCCAACCATTGTAGGAACATTCAAAATAGTTAAAGATTTGTCTTTCATATAAGTAAAACTTTTATTATACTCCTACCCTGTTTCCCCGAAAATAAGACAGTGTCTTATATTAATTTTTTCTCCCAAAGTTGCGGTAGGTCTTATTTTCAGGGGATGTCTTATCTTTCCATGCGCTAGGTCTTATTTTCGGAGGAGTCGTATTTTTGGGGAAACATGGCAGTATTAAACTTTGAGAATATCTATATTTTGAGATGTCTTTATAAAAAATTATCCAACACATTTTCTAACTGTGATTGAACCTCTCTATGTCTTGGTCAGAAAAAGAAAGCAATTTCCTTATCCTGTAGTTATGTCATAATTAGTCACCACTAAAAGGTCATTTGACCAATATATCATTAACACTTCAATTAAGACCCTACAAGGAATGAAACACTATTTTATCCTACCTTATAACTAAATGAAAAGAATAAGATACAGGTATATAGTTCATCTGTATCTAGTTAGAACCACAACTTTTTAAAGAGTCCTCTAAATATGTTTAACTGGACCTTTGAGGAATAGAACCAACAGAAATTAAATTTCACTTTTTTTTGTTCTTTAAACTATTTTCAATTTCCTAAGAAAGATTATTTGGTATTTAAAACTGCCAATAGCTTTCTCTTAGGATCTGAAATATTTTAAAGTGGTTATATGGAGTTTGGGGGAGGGAAAAATAAACAAAACAGAATCTAATTGAATATGAAACCAAACGTACAATATTGGGAGGTTGATGTATTCCCTTCCTTTTAGTGGGCTTGAACAAAATATTCAACTGCTTACTTGCTGAACGCCTTCTCCACCTACATCCCGTAACTGATGAATGCCTGGCACACTGCCAATCTTATCTACTTCATCCAGAAAGACAATTCCTATAATTTAAGGAGGAGTCTATTATAATATAAAAAAGATATACACAAGGTAACTTCAGCTTTTAAATACTAGGTAGCCAGAGAGCAAGGTCATTCGATCTTTCACATTTAACATACAGAAATACATAAACATGCACTGCTATCTCTCCCATTCATCATTTTGTGCAAATGTTTTATAATTTATTTTACAGACTATCACTTGGGTATGATAACCAGTTCTCTCTGACAATAGCAGCCTGTCCAACTGATGTTTTCAGGTTCTTTATTCCAGGAGCTGAGAGAGAGGCACAGTGCAGAAGCATGAAGTACACGTAGTGCTGATACTAGTAAAACTTTCCCAACTGTATTATTGTCTTAAAGAAATTTGGCAAGTTCTTCATGTAAACAAAGTCAGATGCTAGATGGGGAAAGGAGAAATGCAGCATCTATGATATCCCATAGGGCAATAGGCTAATGTTTCTAGATTCATCTTGCACTCCCCTGCCCTTGCCTCCTTCCCCTTCCCAACCCAGCAATCAGAATCTGGAGGAGAGTCAGAACAGCAAACACAATGATAGTATTAAGGATCTAACAGAGTAATAATTTAGCCAATTTTCACCCTAGTAATCAACTAATGACAATAAGGCAAAGCAAATTTTGTGGCCCTTAGTATGCTAGAGAACATTTAACACAGGTACTTTTATACAATTACAGAATTTCACTTGATTCAAAATAAGAACTACATTGGCTCTTATTGAATATTAGACTGCTTCCTTGGTAGGCTATCTGGGGATAGACAAGCAAGCTATTTTGAAAACATACCTTGTTGTGCTTTCTCTACATTGTAATTGGCATCTTGGAGCAGTTTGGCAATCACAGATTCAATATCTTCACCTACATATCCAGCCTGAGTCAAAGTTGTACAGTCACAGATAGCAAAAGGAACATCAAGGCATTTAGCTAGAGTTTGTGCCAGCAGAGTTTTACCTACAAATAGAAACAGTAAAAGTGTACTGAAAATATCTTGATGTACAAATTTTCTACTAAAATACAAAATAAATTGGAATTGTATACAATAAGAAAATCACTGAGTCTAGCTGGTTTGGCTCAGTGGATAAAGCGTCAGCCTGTAGACTGAAGGGTTCCAGATTTGATTCTGATCAAGGGCACATGCTCTAGCTGAGGGCTTGATCCCGAATAGAGGGCATGCAGGAGGCAGCCAATCAATGATTCTCTCTCATCATTGATGTTTCTCTCTCTCTCTCCCTCTCTTCCTCCCTGAAATCAGTTTAAAAAATTACTGCTATATCTTTTCTACACTATTATTCAGATCTAACGTCATTTTACTTTTATTATCCTAATAAAAGAGTAATATGCAAATTAACCATCACTACAACACATAGGATGGCCGCTCCCATGTGTCAAAGATGGCTGCCACAAGATGATCAGGCCTGTAAGGGAGGACAATTGGGGGGGACCAGTCCAGCAGGGGAGGGCAGTTTGGAGTGACCAGGCCTGCAGGGGAGGGCAGTTAGAGGTGACCGGGCCAGCGGAGGAGGGCAGTTGGGGGGACCAGGCCTGTAGGAGAAGGCAAGTTAGGGGTGCCTGAGCTGGGAGAGAAGGGCAGTTGCGGGGGACCAGGCCTGCAGGGGGAGACCAGTGGCGGTGATCAGGCTGGCAGGGGAGCAGTTAAGCGTCGATCCAGGCTGGCAGGGGAATGGTTAGGGGGTGATCAGGCTGGCAGGCAGGCGAGCAGTTGGGAACCAGCAGTCCCGGATTGTGAGAGGGATTTCCAACTGCCAGTTTAGGCCCAAGTCCTTGAGAGTTCCCAGATTGAAGAGGGTGCAGGCTGGGCTAAGGGACACCGCCCCTTCGAGTGCACAAATTTCGTGCACCGGGCCTCTAGACCCTAAGAAGGTGTTAGAAATTGGCCTAGAGGCAATACCAAGGTCTCAAATTCAGCTTGAAGCCTATGCAGAAATACTGAAAATATATGAATGATTGGCCTTAGATTTATTTTTTATTTTTGTCAAATATATTTTTATTGATTTTACACAGAGAGGAATTGAGAGGGATAGTTAGAAACGTCAATGAGAGAGAAACATCGACCAGCTGCCTCTTGCACACCCTCCACTGGGATGTGCCCGCAACCAAGGTACGTGCCCTTGACCGGAATCGAACCCGGGACCTTTCAGTCCACAGGCCAACGCTCTATCCATTGAGCCAAACCTGTTTCGGCAGATTTATTTTTTTAAGAGCCAAAGTCTCTCAATCACAAAACAGTTACAAAATCATTTATATTATGTTTTTAAAATGAGTAGTATATTTTTTCCAGGAAGTTATTTACCTGACCCAGTTGGTCCAAGCAGCAAAATATTACTCTTTTCAAGTTTTATGTCATCATGAGCAGAATCCAATACTTCACCTCCTCGTTTTTCCTGAGGCATTTGTTGATTTACCTGTTGCTGCATTGATGCTCCTAAAGCATTACCATGTGGACTAATTCCAGCAATCTGAAGCAATTCTGAAAAAAAGTCCAAGGAATTACTAGAGCTTCATTTTATTTTATTTGAAAAAAATGACTAATGAAACCTTATGTCTAAAGCCAATCACTTATTTAGAAAAATTTAAATATTTTGACAATTTGTCTTATCTAAAAAGGAAAAATTTCCAATTATCTAGTGACAAAATTACAAGTGATTATATAGGGAACCTCAAGCAAAGAAAATTGATTCTTTTTAACCTTTCCTCCTTATTTATGTAAACCTGTATAAAGAAATCCCTTTGCTCAAGGGAAGGCAATATAATAGAAAGAGAATAGTGCTTAGGAGTCAGAAAGCATTCGTTTTGACCCTTTGTCTGCAAATGGCTATATGACTTGGGGCAAGTCTATATATAAACTTAGGGCTGTTTCCTAATCTATAAAATGGCAACAATTCTTGCCTTACCAATTTCAAAGTGTAAGAATAAAATGCAATTGATTTGGAGGCACTTGAAAGATAAACAAATATAATTTTTTTTTCAGTACATATGAAAGGATGCATAGCTACAGAGGAAAATACTGAACTGAGAAATAGAGAACTTGGTTCTGGTCTCATAGGTCCATGGCAAGTCACTCAACTTTACTGGGCCTGCTACCTTACATAAAGTGAAAATACTGAGCCACATGATCTCCAGTCTCTTCCACATCTAAGAATAATTCTGTGAGTCTCCCAGAGAAAGCAACTTATGGTAAGACTCACTATCCCTGGCCCTATCTGAATCTAATTTTATAGGATCTCCACTGGATCTTTCTAGTCCCTTTATTAAAGATACAAAGTTAACTAGATGGGACTGATATTGCTGGTGAACTATCAGTTTATCAGCAGATCCCTAAAACTAATTATATTTGCTTATATATTTTGAATTTATATTTAGGTTGTTTCTAATAAATGGTTTAAGAATATCAGTACTTTCCAATCCATTATTTTAAACTAACCAACAGATGTCAGCAGACACAAATATTTATGGTCCTTTCTATCTGGCGGTCACTTTCTAACTATCTTAATGGTCATACTTAAGGTAAAGGGTTATTCTATTCATCAGAAATAACAGAATTTAATAAACATTTGAATTTAATTAAATTGTGCTACAGTTGAGAATTAATGATTAATGACTAACTCACAATGCTATGCCTCATTATAATCCACATCACACACAAAAAATACAATCCCCTATTTTAGTGAAATTAGTTCAATAGTTGTCCCTAGCAAAATTGTTTGTTTTTTAAATTTCAGCAAAATCTAGATAGAAATTGTGACAATATAAGAAGGGGCTGGCTCAAGTAGAGGTCTGACCAATGAAGAAAATACAATTTAGGTGAATAATTTGAATAAAGTTGCAAGAAGCACGTTAACTACAATGGAGTCACATGATGCATGTATTTAACTTAATGATTTAAGTTTTAAAAAGAGAAATACTTTAAATAGTACAGAACAGTTATGTTAATTACATTTTATTAAAATATGCCACAGTAAACTTGAGATAACTCTCCTGTTCTTTTAGTCTCTGTTGCTGCATATCTCTACCTGCATAAGTACCTCTCTATAATGAGCAGAACTATGAACAGGCAGGCTAGCACAGTGATTAGATGAATGAACATCATCAGCTGTGTATGGCCCTGGACAAATTACTTGAAACTTCTGTGCTTCAATTTCCTCAACTGTAAAAATGAAAGTGAAAATACATTTTTGTCTTACAGGTGTTGGAAAGATTAAGTGAATTAATATGTGTAATATATATGCCTGGCAGATCCTATAATAAAAGGCTAATATGCAAATTGATTGAATTGATTGAACTACCAGTTGCTATAATGTGCATTCACCACCAGAGGCAGATGCTCAACGCAGGAGCAGCCCCCTGGTGGTCAGTGTGCTCTCACAGGGGGAGCGCTGCTCAGCCAGAAGCCCTGAGCCCGGCTCAGGCTGGCGAGCGCAGGTGGTGGCGGGAGAGGCTCCCGCCTCTGCAGCAGCACTAAAGATGTCCAACTGCCAGCTTAGGCCTGCTCCCCACTGAGGGCTCCCGAACTGCAAGAGGGTGCAGCCCAGGGTGAATTTCATGCACCGGGCCTCTAGTAATTTTATGTGTCACAGAAGAATTTGCTATCAGCATTGCTATTTTGCTAGTGTTTAATAATTTCTATAATATGGCCTTTAAATGCAAGCCAACTATTTCATCTGATGCTCAACTTAAGAACATCTGTTCCAATGATGGAGAAAAAGAACTATCATCTTTTTTTTTTGAGTTGGTTTTCTCTTCTTTTTGTACAAGGAAATGAACATGCTCATGGACCAGACCTGGAATAATGTCTCAGTCTCAGTTTCCAGTCATTATGTTCCAAATATAGACTGTAAATTTTTATGACATGGGGTAGATCTACCATCAGTTGTCAGTTTTATTATTTAGTATGTTAGTATCTAACATGTGATTTCCAAAGGAACATTCAAGAATATTTTGAAGGACAGTGAGGGGGAAGGTAAAGGAAGAGGGTGGGATGGGAACCAGGTGGAGGGGAGCTATGGGGGGAAAAAAGAAGAACTGTAATAATCTGAACAATAAAGATTTATTAAATTAAAAAAAAAGAATATTTTAATTATATATGTCTTTGGCCTAATGCCCTAATTTTAGAACTTAAAACCCCACATAGGATAAGACTAAACTATACTGAAAATGAATTCTATTTAAGCTTTCAATATATTAATTTCCAAGTCAATCAATATATATAATTATAAATTACTTTTACCTAAGTTCGTAAGTACTATTACTTATTAACATTTAAATTACATTAAATCACTACATATACTATATATATTATATTCACTATAAATTCTTCTCTACTAGTTTCACAAGCCTTCTGCCCAAATTTATGAATATTGACAGCACATTTGATTATAGTTTTAGGTTATAAAATATGTATTATACATGCAGTGTATAATAAACTGTACTATTTATGTCTTACATTCTTATATGTAATCTAATTCTATTGCATTTACTGTGTTTCTTAATTTTATCATGCATGGTATAATAATTATTTCCATACAATTTAAAAATAACTAGAGATATCATTCTATTACATATAATAAATTTCATGCAAGAGTTGATAAACTGGTTATGTTCTCATGGCATATCCTATATTCATAGTACACTTTAATTAGTAGGTATTAATACTGCTTAGTCAAAGGCAAAGTAAAAGTATCAAATTAAGTGAATAAGTGAAAAATGTTCATAGTGGTTTATTATCTGTTTATTTGTATTTGTTATTTTAATTACTTAAAAAAAGGTCACATAAATCTTTTTATGATATTTCTGGAATCTTCACCCTTTCTGTGTGAAGATTATATCCACCTTCAAAGGAATGGATGCGAGACATCAGAATGGTCACTATCCTTCCACACCCTCTATCAGACCTTCTGATGCTTATAGGGTCAACTAAGGGTTGGAAACAGTGCATTGGGGCTTATTCATAATTTACAAGCTACATTAAGCTTCATATACGCTAAAAAATAAAGTGTGCTTTTTGGCAAAGAGAGGCTGTAAAATAATCGGCCTTCCCCAAAACTTCTGTCACTTATAATTATACAGACCAATTCTAATTGTACGGCAAACACACACACACACACACACACACACACACACACAAAATGGCAAAACTAAAGATTTTTACAAATACATTTCTGTTATTATGTAGGTCTATATTTATAGAGAAAAACTATATAGAATACTTTTTATCTCTCTACATTATGCTTGACAAAATACAACAAAATAGATCAAATCAACATATACAAACTACACAAATTAGTTATGAAAAACTATTCTAAAGTTACATATATCAAATATGATAAACATGTTTAGATAATATACATCTTTCTTGGTAATACACAAACAAATACATGTCCCCTTACTATGCTGACATACTTCACTGAGGTAAATCTCAAAGGGAAGAATGATTACAGAGGACCTGAGGAAAGGTCACTTACTTGTAAATCTGTACTCATCCTCCCGTCTTCTTATTTCTAACTCTAAGAAAGAGGATGAAAATGGCAACATGAAAATATATATTTGTTTAGGGGAACCATCAAGGAATATTCCACTTCTTGTTTCTTGCAAATAAAGAATATGTTCATTAACTTTTCTTAGCTTTTCAAACATTATGAAGAATCTATATGCTGCATCCTTTCTATTATACATTACTAAAAAACCTAAACATACTTAATGATGGCTGTCCGGTTGCTAATATTCACATTTGTCAAATATAAAGTTGGTATCTATTTTAAGAAAATAGTAATAATGTAAGTCTTTAATAAGAGTTTAAACCCCTCATACTATAAATACTATATAACCATTTATTTTTCTAGAACTAGAACAGCTAATTATTGATTTGTTGACTGAAGAAACTAGAAAAAATTCTTTTGCTACATGACGAGGCAAAATGAAGGTTCTAAATCTTCATCAGTTATTATGACTTATGCTTTCTAAAAATAGAGTAACTGATGCTACTACATAACTATTTTGCAATAAGTTCAACAAGTGAACAAGTGTTTTCATTGAGCTAATTCTATATTTAGTAGCTACTGAAAGCAATTAAAAGATATTGTAGTTTTATAAATGTAAGTAACTTTTTAAAACTCCCTCAAATTCTAAAATGATGACTAAAACGATAGCTGTATGCCTAAGTAAGATATCAGGACTTCATGGCCCATAACAATAAAATTTTAAATATTAACATTTTACTCTATTCAGTTCTTTGAAAATAAAATCACTAAATTAATATAACACATATTGCCCTGGCCAGTATGGCTCAGTTGGTTGAGCATCACCTTTGCACCATAGAGGTTGCCAGTTCCATTTCTGGTCAAGGGCACATGTCTAGGTTGTAGGCTCAATCCTGGGTAGGGTTCTTGCAGGAGGCAGTCAACTGATGTTGTGCTCTCACATTGATGTTTCTCTCTCTCCCTTCCTTCCCATGAATCAATAAATCATTCTATAAAACGTACTGTGCACACATTATTGTGCACAGCATGTTGAGATTACACAGTTTATTGGTATCGTACAGTGGTTGGCAAACTCATTAGTCAACAGAGCCAAATATTAACAGTACAATAACTGAAATTTCTTTTGAGAGCCAAATTTTTTAAACTTAAACTTCTTCTAACGCCACTTCTTCAAAATAGACTTGCCCAGGCCATGGTATTTTGTGGAAGAGCTAAACTCAAGGGGCCAAAGAGCCGCATGTGGCTCGCAAGCCGCAGTTTGCTGACCATGGGTATAGTAGAATCAATCATTAATAGGAATTACACTTTGAATCACTTACAAATTTGCCCCTAACCTTGTGCACTGTAGTTGGGGCCCAAAAAGGCAAGAGTGCTGCATGTTCTGCAAGAATTATATATGTATGTATATGACTTAGGCAGATGAATTCTGTACCCTGAACTCAAGAGAAGAGAACTCAGTCATACAGAGCACTGCAAAGATAAGTTCATGGGGAACTAGTTTGAATCAAAGATATGATTCAAAGGTATATCTCAATCTCTACCTTAGTAACTTTCAAACATTTTTCACTGAGAACCTTGGTAAGAAATACATTTTACTCTGTGACTCAGAACCCATATAACAAAAAGAAAACGTTTTAAGAAACAATACAGTTAAATGCACTTTGGTATTTTCTATTAATATCTATTAACTTTTTAAATGCCAAAATCATTTCAGTACTTTGAAAAATGCTGTACTCTACTAAAAGCATTTTAAGACAAAAGCAAGGAGTTGCAATAAAGATTATTTCTAGGCATAGTAATCTCTATTTTGGTCAATTATCAAAACACTAACCTCTAGGTGTTAATGATGTCTGCTTCTCAACCTCTGCTTGCTGCCTCAGATTAGTTGGAATATTATTATATATTCTCTTGTAATGATTGTACACGGCAACTGAAAGCACCTTCTTAGCAAATGACTGGCCAACAACATACTTGTCGAGGTAGTTATAAATCTGAAAAATAATTAGGTACAAATTATTTAATGTGAGCTATAATAAAAATACGTACATTTAAAAGAAAGTTGCCTAAACCGGTTTGGCTCAGTGGAGAGAGTGTCAGCCTGCAGACTGAAGGGTCCCAGGTTCGATTCTGGTCAAGGGCACATGCCTAGGCTGTGGGCTCAATCCCTAGTAGGGGGCGTGCAGGAGGCAGCTGATTGATGTTTCTAACTCTCTCCCTTATATATTCAAAAAAAAAAAAAAAGTTATACAGTGAGCATATACGCTTCCAGTTTTAAATTTGAACAAATATTCATTAAAAAAAAAAACACGCAAAGGCATGATACATTATGTAGCAATGATTCAAGATCCCAAACCCTACATGTACAAAAACACAATTTATTATCTAGCCTAGCAAAGTATCACTGGCCTCTTGTAGTGCTACGCTAGTTTCTATTCTATAAACAATGCCATTGATTCTAATTTTTAAAAGTTAATATTAAAGTCATTTAGAATACCTATATATGCCACCAAGAGTCTAATGTTTTAAGAATACATAAAAGTGTCCTTTTCAAAAATTGGTACTATATAATCAAAAGCCATTAAAACACCAGTATCTATGTGTTTTAATACAAACATTTAGCTTTATTTTGATAGTAACTTTAAAGCTACTTATTTATCTACATGGCAACTGTGCTTTATAAAAGCTTTATTCTTTGAAGAAACTAAAGCTCTATTCGATTCTTGGATACTGCCAACAGCTTGGACGTGGGGTAAATTCCTTCAGCTTTCAGTAACTAGAAATTAACTGTCAATATTAACTAACTCTGGAAAAAAGCAAAATTGCCCAATTATTTTCTAGAACTTAAGACTGGGATGTCTAAAGTCTATATAAATCAGTAGAGAATATAAAGCTTAATAGCTACATTTTCTATTACATCATTTATTTTTACATGGCAAATATTTAGTTGTTGACCATATGTATTTTATTATGTTTTAAAAAAATCCTCATTCTTCACAAATTACACTCATGAACTATTAAATCTGCCATAGCACGTTTAGATGAAGAGACAAATGCATTAGTATCAAAACAGAATAGAAGAAAGCTAAACCAAGACAGAGGATGAGAAATAATGGAAGAGCACAAACATCTGAAACATGGCCAGAACACAGGGCACACAGCCCAGGAGCAGGCTGCCTATTCTCAGAAGGTGCACACCAAGTACCCACCCCATGGGGCTGGTGGTACACTCTGTTGTGTTTCACACAGCCAAATCTCAATCTGTCTAAGACTCCTGGAAAGAGCCCATACACAAAAGCCACAGCTATAGAGGAGAGTGCCATTAAAAAAATTACTTGCTTCCACTGTTAGCCTGAGGCTATTTTACCAGAAAGTAGACTAATTTAATGGGGGGAAGGGAATTGCAGGCTGGTATTATTTAGGTGGTCAAACTAACAAAAATAAATCCATAACTGCTCTATTTGAAGGTTATCATTTTAGATTAATTTAGTATTGACACTACTTCAATAATCATCCAACTACATTTCATTGCTACTGACCAGAGTAATCATGACATGGGGAAAAAAGCAAAGGACTCCATACCAAAATTCCAGGTATCAAATATCAAAAACAATTTAGCCAAATATAGTCCATATTAATAACTTAGAATATGTGTTTAGATACTAGTATTAGCATACATACTAGTATAAACTGAGGAGAGGGGGGCAATGAAATGCTATCAAGATCAAATGCTTATAAGACTTTATACCTTCTTGGGGGGAGGTGGTGGTTTCTGTTGGAATGCCAATTTTACAGCTTCTGCTGCTGATTCTGGTTCTTTAATTATGCTTTTCTTTGAGTCTGCTTCAGATAGCACAACAAAAAAATGATGACATTTTTCACACTTCACAAAACGGGTGGATGCTGTAAAAGAAGAGTCAGCAGAGAAAAAGAAAATTCAATTAGTATTTCACCTCAAAGATTCAATGAAAAATAAAACTATGTACTTGACAAAAAGTATGCTTGTGGTTCACTCCTCTAGCCACAAACAGTCTAGTTTACATCTAAGATAGATGATATAGATGAGTTTAGTCAACTACATTTTCTTCATTTCCACTAGGTTCTGTCATTTTATAATATAACACAGTAAGAGAAAAGATAGAGTTTTTCAACTTTCAAACACTAAAGTTAATCTTTAAAACTACCATAAGAGCCGAAACCGGTTTGGCTCAGTGGTGGAGCGTCGGTCTGTGGACTGACAGGTCCCAGGTTCGATTCGTCAGGGCACATTGGTTGCGGGCACATCCCCGGTAGGAGGTGTGCAAGAGGCAGCTGGTCGATGTTTCTCTCTCATTGACATTTCTAGCTCTCTATCTCTCTCCCTTCCTCTCTGTAAAAGGATCAATAAAATATATTTTAAAAATAAATAAATAAAACCACCATAAGATTAAAATATTGTTTATTTCATTGAAATGTGTGAACTGTAAAAAGTAAAATACAAATAGATTAATCTATTTCCCTAATATTTTATTAAAAATTTCATACACTGAAGTTGAAAGAAAGAAATCTAATTTAATACACCCAAAATATAAAAAAGTATATTTTTTAGGTACTTCAAACCTAAAACTGCAACTTGGTAAAAAGATAAAATTATTTCATAGCTTCCTTATTTTTATCTTTAATACTTCCACTAATTCCTATGCTTTTGACCTAAAAACCAATGAGAAACTAACAAAGTAACAATATTCTCAGTCATATTTACTTCATTTAAAGATAATCATATAGCACTTGAAAACAAGGGCAGGTAAAAGTGTGGGTAAAAATGCTTTCTTAATGATAATACATCAACTACATAATATCCTGTGTTAAACCAAAAGTGACTTTTTCCTTTCTCTCTTTCTAAAACACAGCTTTAGGATATAGACATATGGCCATAAACTCTTAGCCTTTCTAAACCTACCCCTACTGAGGGTAACTAGGGAACTCAGAAAGCAGCATGATAGTGGATAAACCCATACAGACTATTAACAGATACAAAGACGCATAGAAATTAGTTATATGTTGGTAGAATATATTTTTTGTGTAATATAACTAGACAGGTGAATTGTAATAAAACTAAACATAGTCTTTTTTTTTTTTTTAATAGATTTTATTGATTTTGTACAGAGAGGAAGGGAGAGAGATACAGAGTTAGAAACATCGATGAGAGAGAGTCATCGATCAGCTGCCTCTTGCACACCCCCTACTGGGGATGTGCCCGCAACCAAGGTACATGCCCTTGACCGGAATCGAACCTGGGACCTTTCAGTCCCCAAGCCGAAACCATTGAGCCAAACTGGTTTCTGCTAAACATAGTCTTAAAATAATTTTTAAAACTATGATAATCTCTCTCCTTTGGAAATACTATAATACAAATTATAAGAAAAACTGCACTGGCAAATACAACTAAATCTTCACAAAATAATCTAAATTTTATAAAATAGACAATCCCACAATAAAAACATCAATGTAATTATATATCCAATCAATTTGATTATGTGTTCCTTCTTAAACACAGGCCAATTAAAAATTCATTTAGGATAAATTATAGCAGCAAATTTTAAACCAGAAGATGGAATGCTTACTAAAAAGAAATCAAACTATTTTAAGTACCTTCAATTAATCCAAGCCCAAATACATTATCACCATTTCCCATCAACAGGGAAAAGTCAATGCCTCTATTTTACGAGGCACCAGCTTACAACTGTTAGTGATGGTAAACAGGACAAGGATTAAAGGGCAGAGAAGCCTCTGGCTCAATTCAGGCTGTGTACCAAGAAAATCTGGCTTGAGAACATACAAACAAAACATTTCTCTACGGAAATTAGGTCAAAGGGGAAGAGATTAAACACCAACAATCATCTTTTTTTGCTTACTGTTAAAGGGTTGCTTAAATTCCACTTGAATATTTGCAATACAATTTTACACTGAAACATATTTAACATATACCCAAATTCAAAGATTCAATTTTATTTATCGAAATGCTTATTTTTTAAAAATATATATTTTATTGATTTTTTTAAAGAGAGGAAGGGAAAGAGATAAGTTAGAAACATCGATGAGAGAGAAACATTGATCAGCTGCCTCCTGCACACTCCCTACTGGGGATGTGCCCGCAATCAAGGTACATGCCCTTGACCAGAATCAAACCTGGGACATTTCAGTCCACAAGCCGACGCTCTATCCACTGAGCCAACCCAGTTTGGCGAAATGCTTATTTTAATAAAAAGCATTGCAATGCATATTGTACTCTTAAAAACTAAGAGCAAAAATCTAATTTTGGTAAATTATAAGGGGATAAACTTTTCTTAAAAATATTATTTTTATTGATTTCAGAGAGGACGGGAGACGTAGAGAGAGAAACATAATGATGAGAGAGAATCATCAATCAGCTGCCTCCTGCATGCTCCCCAACTGGGATGGAACCTGCAATCAGGCATGTGCCCATGACAGGAATTGAACCCAGGACTCTCCAGTCCACAGGCCAATGCTCTATCCACTTAGCCAAACCAGTTAGAGACCCTTTATTATATATAGTTGATATATATTTAACATTATATATTATATATAAATATATGTAATTATATATTAATTATATAATTTATATATATATAAATTATATATATCAATTTACATAATTGATATATATATATAATTGATTTCAGAGAGGATGGAGAGGTAGAGAGAGATAGAAACATAATGAGAGAATCATTAATCGGCTGCCTCCGCATGCCTTCCACCGGGATGGAGCCCACGATGCCAGCATGTACCCTGACTGGGAATCAAACCATGACCTCCTGGTTCATAAGTTGATGCTCAATCACTGAGCCACTCTGGCTAGCTAAACATCTTTTTTTTTTTTTTAAATGGTTACTACAAGTATCTTATATTCCTTTATATACAGAATACTGATCTCAGTAAACATGCTTATCTAGTATGCCAAAAACAGAGAGACTACCTTGGTAAAAACTTTTTTAAAAGATTTGTTTAAATGAAAGTTTCTCATGATTTTAAACAAATTTCAGGGTCCAACACAACATTTCCAAAACACTGCAGAAAACTTTAATTTCTGCCCTATGAGATAGGTAAGTGCAGTAAGCCTTCAAAAAGTGTTATATACATAAAAATAAAAATCAACTAAAGGCTCTAACTTAAATAAAAGAGGAGAGACTATTCATGTTAGACAAGTTATTTTTTAAATGGGCTAAAGAATAGTACCTTAAGTCATTATAATCAACTTTCTTAGATATTATTCTTAATTTCAATTTCTGATAATTTTCTATAACAAACATTACTACAAACAAACCTGTTAGATTAAATATATACAGCAAGGTCCATGAGCTAAAAATTATTTTTACATTTTGGAAAAAATGACAATGAAAATTATATGAAATTCAAATGTCAGTGTCCATATAAAGTTTTATTGGAGCACAGTGTCCTCATTCACTTACATTGTCTGTGGTTGTTTTTGCACTATAACTATAAAGAAGAATAGCTGCAATAGAAATCATATGGCCCACAAAGCCTAAAATATTTACTATTTGCTCAATCCTGCTATACAGCATTTAAAAGGGAAGAACTAGCCATAGAATGAGAGAAAATATTTGCAAATCACATATCTGAATAAGGGTTTAGTTTTCAAAATAACTCAATAATACAGATAACCCAATGTAAAAATGAACATAGAGTAGGCCCTATAGCTCAGGATTAGAGCACTGGTCTTGTAAAAATGAACATAGAATTTAAATATTCTTTTCTCCAAAGACGACATAGAAATGGCCAATAAACACATGAAAAGATGCTTAACATCTTTACTCATTAAGAAAATGTAAATCAAATCCCTACGATGGCTACAATAAAAAAGACAGATGAGTGATGAAAAGGATGTGGAATAATTGGAATCCTTATACATTGCTAGCTGGGTTGTGGGATGGTACAGTCTCTTTTAAAAAACAGTTTGGCAGTTTCTTAAACATAGGCCCTGGGCAGGCAGCTCAGTTGGTAAGAGCATCAGCCTAATATGCCAAGGTTACAGGTTTCATCCCAGCCAGGGCACATACGAGAAGCAATCAACTGAGTAATAAATAAGTGGAACAATAAATGGATGTCTCCTCCCCACCCCTTCCTCCCTCCCTTTACCAATCAATAAATAAAAACTAAAAATAATTTTTTGCTGAAACCGGTTTGGCTCAGTGATAGAGCGTTGGTCTTCGGACTGAAAAGTCCCGGGTTCGATTCCGGTCAAGGGCATGTACATTGGTTGCGGGCACATCCCCGGTGGGGGGTGTGCAGGAGGCAACTGGTCAATGTTTCTCTCTCACTGACGTTTCTAGCTCTCTATCTCTCTCCCTTCCTCTCTGTAAAAAATCAATAAAATATATTTTTAAAAAAATAAAAATAATTTTTTTAAAGCTAAACATAGTTACCAATTCACCTAGCAATTCTGTTCCTCAGCAAATGCCCAAGTAAAAACAAACAAACAAACAAACAAAAGAAGTGTACACAAATGTTCATAGTGGCATTGCTTTCATTTTTTTTCTTGTTAATTCTCACTTGAGGATAATTTTTCCACTGATTTTTTTTTTTTTTTTTTTTTTTTTTTTTTTTTTTACGAGAGTGGAAGGAGATGGGGGAGATCAGAGATCAACCAAAGAACTTGCATGCAAGCATATAAGCATAACCAATGGATGCAAAACTCTGGGGGGGTGAGGGCATGTATGGGAGTTGGGTGGGTGGGGGCAATGGTAAGATATGTACACTTACAATATCTTAATAAAGAAATGAAAAAAATAAAATAAATAAGAAGAGAGTGGAAAGGAGGGCGAGTGAAAGAGAAACAGGGAGAGAAAGGGAAGGGAGAGACAGAGAAAAACATCAATGTAAGAGAGACACAATCGGTATGCACCCTAACGGGGTCAGGGATCAAACCTGCAAACTAAAAGTAAGTCCCCTTGACTGGGAATTGAACCCATGACCCTTAGGTGCATGGGCCTAATGCTCTAACCACTTAACTACACTGGCCTGGACACTGTAGCATTATTCATAATACCTAACTATAATAGTAGAAGCAACTCAAATGTCCATCAATAGATGAGTGGACAAGGAAATACTACCATTCAACCATAAAAAGCAATGAAGGATTGATACATAATGCAACACAGATGAACCTTGAAAACATCTATAATAATCTATAATAATAAAAAGGGTAACATGCTAATTAGACCAGATGTCCTTCCTGACGAAGTTGGGGCCGGAGGAAGCCAGCCCGGGCCCTGGGTGCCTGAAGGCGGCCGGAGGGAAGCAGCCAGGCCGGCAGCCGGGAAGGAAGGCCTCTTCTTGCATGAATTTCTGTGCTCCGGGCCTCTAGCACTAAATAAAAGCAGCCAGACACAGCCCTGGCCAGGTGGTTCAGTCAGCTGGAGCATGGTTCTGGACACTAAAAGGTTGTGGGTTCAGTACCCAGTTAGGGCACATGGAAGGCAAACAATCAATGTTTCTCTCTCACATAGATGTTTCTCTCTCTCTTCCTCTCCCTTCCTCTCTCTCTAAAATCAATAAAAAACATCCTTGGGTAAGGATAAAAAAAACACCAAAAAACTAAAACCTCAAAAATTTTTTTAAAAAGGAAAGGACTAGACCTGTATGTATTAACATACATAGCTCTTAAAACATTGCTGAGTTGGGGAAAAAAAAAGCAACAAAAACATGAATATGATACCACTTATGCTTTTACAAAGTTTTATGTTCAATGAAGATATATTACAAAATATATTTTTAGCTTTATCTATAATGCTCTACTTTTTCATAAAGAGGGACATATATGTATATTCCTCAGGTAATCTACACTAATAAAAGAGGAAAAATACTAATTGACCGTACCTTCGCTAAACCCACAGCCAATCAGACGAGTATGTAAATTAACCCAACAAGGATGGCGGTTAATTTGCATACACTGAGGGAGGGAAGAGTAAAGACTGAAGACAGCATAGAAGGAGCATTAGGGAAAGTGGAAAACAAGGTGGCTGCTGGAGGGAAAGCACAGGTGGGGCAGCAGGAGGAAAAGCGTGGGGTGCGGGTTGGGGACAGAAGCAGCAGGGAAAGTGCGGGAGAAAGGGAGTGGCCGGGAGAGGTGGCAGGAGGGAAGCCTGCCAGAAGCCCTGTTCTTGAGGAATCTTCTGCAATAGGCCCCTGGTCTAAAACAATTAAATATGACAAAAAATGGACAATTACCTAAACAGGCCATTCATAAAAGAACCGTAAGTGATAAAAAGCGCATAAAAATATGTTTATGGCCCTGGCTAGTGTAGCTCAAAAATGGTCCATGCACTGAGAAGTCATTGGTTCCATCCTCAATAGGGGGGCCTGTAGGAGGCAACCAAGAAAGTAATGTATCTCTTCATCAATATTTCCTCTCTCCCTTCTTCTCTAAAATCAATTAAGATATTTTAAAAAGATGTTTATAGCCAAAACCGGTTTGGCTCAGTGGATAGGGCATTGGTCTGTGGACTGAGAGGTCCCAGGTTTGATTCCGGTCAAGGGCATGCACATTGGTTGCGGGCACATCCCCAGTGAGTGGGGGGAAGGGGGGTGCAGGAGGCAGCTGATGGATGTTTCTCTCTCATCCATGTTTCTAACTCTCTGTCCCTCTCCCTTCCTCTCTGTAAAAAATCAATAAAATATATTTAATAAATAAATAAAAAGATGTTTATGAATAACTATATAAATACAGATTTAAATAAATAACCTAAGATCAAACAAAACTCTTGAGAACTAGATTTACCAAATTTCCCATAAGTAGACAGAAAATCCACTGCATTCAAAGGGGATGCAATCTGAAGAGATTTTTTTTATGGATCAACAAAACCAAAGGAGGCCGAAACCGGTTTGGCTCAGTGGATAGAGCGTCGGCTTGGGGACTGGAGGACCCGGGTTCGATTCCGGTCAAGGGCATGTACCTTGGTTGCGGGCATATCCCCAGTGGGGGATGTGCAAGAGGCAGCTGGTCGATGACTCTCTCTCATCGATGTTTCTAACTCTCTATCTCTCTCCCTTCCTCTCTGTACAAAATCAATAAAATATATTTAAAAAAAAAAAAAAAAACAAAGGAGGAGGGCCTAGTCTCACTGCTGGGGCCTATTCCTCCTCAGTAGTAAAGATCCAGAGAACAGGGACAGTGCATTGCTCATCGTGAATTTTCTGAGCCCAGCAGTGTCTGACTCAATAGTTTGAGTATGTATTCTTTTACTTTTCTCTTCCACATTCCCCTCCCCCATTAGAAGTCCCAAAGAAAATAGACCACCTCAGAGCTGAGCTGATTAGAGTACAGTGTTTTCCACATTTGGTCTCAGTTATATTTACAGATTCTAGGATCCTACGCAATACCTACAGAATGTTAATGTAATACCTACAGATTCCCTCTAGGGAAGGAGGGAATCTATGGTCAATAATCACCCTCAGTGTTCACTTTAAAAAAAAGTTTTAATATTTGAAGTGTTCACTTACTCAGTTAAACAACAGTGACCCGGCAGGTTTTGAAAACACTGCATAAAAAAAAACTAAACTTAATCTTGAGAGGACCTAGTTTATTTAAAGATATATATGACATTACCATTATGAATTAAGCAATTCTCAGATTTTGAGAACTTTAGTATATCACACCAAATTTTGTTAACAGAAAATGTTATTTAGAAGTTATATCATCCAGTTCTACTACTTTCATTTTATACTGCAATTCAAATTACTATTCATTCAGATTGATTTTTCTCTTTGATTAGAACCTAACATTGCAGCTATAGAATGGAACTACTTTAAAGTCTTTCTAGAACTGTAAAAACATGCTACTTTTTTGTATAGTAGCCAATTAATAGCACTGATAAATGTAAAACTAAAGTTTTTTGGGTTAGAATACAGAGATTCCTCTCCAGCTAATAATCAGAAACTGAAACTTCTGCCACACCTTACCATCAACCTTTTCATAACTGGACTGTTTAAGAAGGCTGAATTACATTACCATTAACTCTAATCAAATAGGAAATTAGTTATTTGATTCATTAAACAAACTATCTGTTGATTTCAGAGAGAATTATTGACATTAAGCAAAAGTAAGACTGTTGATTTCTTCCTTCTTAGTTTCTGAATCATTAATGATTATCACACATTTTCTAGAATTGAGAGCATAGCTTCTCTGAAAGTACTTAGAGAAGAAAAATACCTTAATATTTAAATGACCCACTTCTTGTTTTATGAGACAATCAATAGGTACGTGAAGAACAGAATAATAAATACAGAATAAGCAAGCCTTGGTTCTTGTATAGCTTAATGGTTACAAAAACCGGCACTGCACCTTCTCATTTCCCCACTGCCTTTCTCCCCACACCCCTCACCACTCCTGCCCTGCTCTGCCATGCTGTACTCTGAAGAGATACCTGTCACCTCCCAGCAAGTGGCTCTGCTGGGCTTTTGGAGCATGCTACTGCCCGACCGAGAGATCTGCATGGGTAGCAGGCTATGACCTGTGCAATGCCTATGATTACACAGAACCACCTATAGAGAAAACCCTGAGAAAACCGACATTCAGACAACTCTTCCTTCTGGGTGCTATCAAAGAATAGCTCTATGTTCTGCCTTGGCTGCAAACATTTCATAGATGCAGAAGCTGGTGTCATAAACGAAAATTATAGCAAATCTTATTGTACTGTTTAATTTTGGCAAAGAAAAGTTTGAAGTAAAAAAGGGTGACCAAATTACATAGCTCATTTGTGAATGGATTTTTTAAATCCAGAAATAGAGGAAGTTTTGGATGACACTGAAAGGAGTTCAAGAGATTTTGATTACACTGGAAAGAATGAAAATTTATGCCAAGAACAGAAATTTTTAAAAATGTACTTTTTTCTTAAAAATAAAGTTTTTGTTTAGTGTTTTGCATTTCTGTGAACTTAATAGCTTTTAGCTTCTAAAAATATTTGTTTTTCTTAAATCAAAGAAAGGGTACCCTGTTAGGATCACAGAACTTATAATTTCTTGTGTTTTCCTACATTTGACTGTTGTATAAATCTGCATGGTAACCATAAACAAAGTTTCTTTTTTCAATCAAATGTACATCAATCACAGATTCCCTCCCTCAGAACTATATTATTTAATTCACTAAATGCTACCTCTTCAACAACTTTTTTTTATTGCTTTGTAAGTTATAAGCAAAGCCTTTCATTCAAGAAATTTTTAAAATTGAATTTAAAGGGAGGAAGGGAGGAAGAGAAAGAGGGAAAAAGGAGGAAGAAGGGAGGGATGAAGAGAGGGAGAAGGGAGAAGGGAGAAGGGAGAAGGGAGAAGGGAGAAGGGAGAAGGGAGAAGGGAGAAGGGAGAGAGAGAGAGAGAGAGAGAGAGAGAGAGAGAGAGACATCATTGGTTTTTGTTCTGCTTATTTAAGCATGCATCGGTTTATTCTTGTATGTACTCTGACCAGGGATCAAACCCAAAAGCTTTGTGTATCAGGATGATGCTCTAACCAACTGAGCTATATGGCCAGGGCCTCATTCAATAAATTTGAATTATTTTATAAGTATACAAACAAATAAAATATAATAAAACAATTCTTAAGATCCAAATTTAAAATAAAGACTTAAGCAAAATAAGAAGCAAATAGTTTCCTTAAATTCTCTCCTATACACAGTGTAAAATATTACTAGTCCTGGGGATTTTTAGTATCTGGTGAACATAAGAGAGAATCATATAAGTTCAGGAACAAAATAACCTCAGTTTATATAATTTATATATTTCTATGCAGTTAAAATTTATAAAAAAGATAGAGAAAAAGAACAACAGAAGTAATACTTACACACAAACGTCTCTACATGTGTGCACAAGTCACCACATTTAGGGCAGCGTAGCTGGCTTCCACCTTTCCCAGAATTCCCAGAGCCTGATTTTTTACTGCTTCCCTCACTTACTGATTTCTAAAGTTTTTGGAGGAGGAAAAAGGAGTGTCAATTATTAATTTTGGGCAACCATTTTATATGTAAACAAATATAAACAATATAGTTGATAATTAATCTTACAATTTCTAGAATGAAATCATTTGCATAATTTAATCTCTACTATTGCTGGCACATATAGGTATGTCCTAGCAGTATAAAAAAAGTTTTCTTTCAATGACTCAATAAGAACTAGGAAAAAAAAAAATTCTATAAGTATACATTTCAATGAAATTAAATTGGGCGTTATTACCATAACAAGTAGTAATTCTTAACTTTCTTGAATCTAATTTTTTTTCATTTCTAAAATAAAGATATCTACTTCAAAGTCACAGTCAGGATTAAGTGCAAATATGAAGGCATCAAGTATTTTGTCTGGCATTTATTATTAACTCAAGTGTCAAGTTCACATAATAAAAAATTTGATAATAATTCACTGACCCAATACAATCACCAATCATCTACTTGCTAGCTTCAGAGTAGCCCAGCATTGTCATAATGATATTTAGTAGAGGATGTAGTGGGGTTTACATTGTTATAAACTGCAAAAATTGTATGAAAGTAGGAAGTGATGGCTATTCCTAACTCAACCCTACAGACTAACTACATAGGTTATTTAATGAAGTTCTTTTCAGCTTTGGGGGTGGGGTGGCTGCAAGAGGTTGGTTATTGGAGCACACTGACTACCAGGGAGCAGCTTCTGTGTTGAGTCTTTCCCCCTTGGTGGTCAGTATGTTGTCATAGTGACTGGTCATTCAGTCAACCTGACCAGTCAGAACGGTTGCCTAGGCTGTTATGTATAGAGGCCCGGTGCAAAAAATTCATGCATTGGGCAGCGGGGGTGGGGGTGGGGCAGCGGCATGTCCCTCAGCCCAGCTTGCACCCTCTCTAATCTGGGACCCCTCAAGGGATGTCCAACTGCCCGTTTAGGCCCAATTCAGGTGGGCAGTCGGACATTCCTAACACAATCTAGGACTGCTGGCTTCCAACCGCTCGCCTGCCTGATTGCCCCTAACACTTCTGCATCCCAGCCTGATCACCCCGTAACAACTCCCCTGCCAGCCTAGTCAACGCCTAACTGCTCCCCTGCCAGCCCGATTGCCTCTAACTGCCCTCTCCTGCTGGCCTGGCCACCCCTAACTGCCCTCTCCTGCTGGCCTGATTGCCCAAAATTGCCCTCCCCTGCTGGCCATCTTGTGGCAGCCATCTTTGACCACATGGAGTGGTCATATTGTGTGTTTGAGTGACTGTCAATTTTCATATTATTCTTTAATTAGATAGGATAGGATTGCTTAAACAAGGGAACTCAAATATATACATAGGTGCCAATACCTTATTTCCATCTCCAGAGCCATCTTTACTTATCCCATCTTTTGAGGCTAAGCATGCTGGTGTTTCTGTAAAGGTTCTAAAAGGAACTCTTCGTAGAATCTGAGTTTCAAAGGTCCCAAGCCTTCCTAAAACGGGTATATGAATGCGACCACAAGAAATACCTGAAAATATAAAAACCTTATTAGTCTACACATCAAATATTAACATTCTTTCAATAAAATGCCCTGGAAACAAAAATGTGTTAAGCACAAGAGGTTGAAAAATTAGTTTCCATTGTAGTACAAACTGGTAAAGAAACTAATAATACCATTAGAGGCAAAGCCTTCTCAAATATAGGCCAGACCTGGGCCTTGGAGAGATCCCAGGTGAGTAAAAATGTTTGGTTTTTTTTTTTTTTTTTCTTCCCAGGCCTGTCTTTTGGAAGTGAAGAAAGATCACCAAGATTGTAACTATGAGTGACTCAAAGTTTGAGATAAATAAAATATTTTAACATCTGCCTTGCTAGTAGGGGGAAAAGACCATTTATGTCCTATATTCTTTTTTAAATTTATTTTATTTTATTTTATTGCTTTTTTACAGAGAGGAAGAGAGAAGGATAGAGAGTTAGAAACATCAATGAGAGAGAATCATCGATCAACTGCCTCTTGCACACCCCCTACTGGGGATGTGCCCGCAACCAAGGTACATGCCCTTGACTGGAATTGAACCTGGGACCTTTCAGTCAGCAGGCAATGCTCTATCCACTAAGCCAAACTGGTTTCAGCTATGTCCTATATTCTTATTCTTCTTATACTAGAGGCCCAATGCACAACATTCGTGCCCTGGGGGTGGGAGAGGTCCCTCAGCCCAGCTTAATAAAATATTTCAATCCTACAGAAAAAAATGTAATTCAGTAAATATTGTGTAACTGCCATTCTGCTTTCAAGGATTTTAACTTTTTGATATAAAGTTAAAATTCTTTAATAGAATGTAAGTTATTATTTAGCAAACGTTTCCTGTAAAGGACCAGGATAGTAAATATTTTCAGCATTGTGAGCCACATAATCTCAGTCTATTTAACTATAACAGGAAAGTAAATGTAAACAATATGTACACAAATGGGTGTGGCCAGATTTGATCCACAGGGTCACTGTTGCTGACCTTTCATTTTTCTTACATAAATACAAAATAAACCCAAAATAAACTATAGGCAACAGCAAAAGAGCCAAACTGCATACTGTGAGGCAGCATTTCCCAAGCTGGTCTTTAAAAGTGTTCTTTACACAAGAAAACTGAATGGTCCTAGATTAAACAAAATGCTATATATTCTAATAGTGTAGGGACATTCAGAACCTTACATAAGCTAACCTGCATTAATGAACTGCCAAGAAGAAAGTTTCCCAGCAGTTTACCAAAGTTCTCTTAGGAGGGTAATAAAATAAACAACAGAAAGGATATGTGTGTTAATGTTAATATTTAAATAAATTTAAGATATTGGGGGGTTTTGCCTCCCTCATTTTATTCCCTGCAAAATTCTCAACTCAGGCTTTAAATTTTTATTTCTACACCTGTTAAGAGTTTCTAAGAGATCATCCACATATATATTGTATCCAAAGCCAAAAACTGGTTTGAAATTATGTCCTTCAAAAAAAAAAGTTTGCTTAGTTATATAACTAGTTTATTAATCCCAATTTTCCAGCAGTATTGCAATGTTAGAATAACTAATTTCTTTAGCTATTTTTCACCATAGGCCAGAAATTTTCAACCAGTGCATCATAAGAATTTCTAAAATGTGCAATACCTGACTATTTAGCCGGGGCACTGATCTCTTTTCCCTTATATCGTCAAATAAAAAAAATGACAACAGCCAAAAACAACAGCAGTCCCGAGTGAATGCTTTATCTTGAACCATAAATATATAGGTCATATAATAGAATGGTATCTTATCAGTCACCTGGTCTGAATGATTAATGCTTGGTACTAGAAAGCTTTATATACAAGTATAGGCACCTGATTTTTAAAAAGTCACTTTGAGCCTTGGCTGGATAGCTCAGTTGGTTAGAACAGCAGTGGGCAAACCAGGGCTCTTTGGCCCATGGAGTGTGGCTCTTCCACAAAATACCACGGCTCTTTGGCCCATGGAGTGTGGCTCTTCCACAAAATACCACGGCCTAGGCAAGTCTATTTTGAAGAAGTGGCGTTAGAAGAAGTTTAAAATATTTGGCTCTCAAGAGAAATTTCAATCGTTGTACTGTTGATATTTGGCTCTGTTGACGAGTTTGCTGACCACTGGGTTAGAACATCATTCTGATTCACCAAGGTTGCTGGTTTGATCCCCAGAGTACATACAAGAATCAACCAGTAAGTAAGTGGTACAAATAAATTGATGTTTCTCTCTCCTTTCTTCCCTCTCTAAAATCAAATGATAAAAAACAACAACTTTAAGTCATTTTGGAGCAAAAAAGGTAGGCAATTACTATTATTTTGTTGTTGTTGTTGGATCAGAAAAAAAAAAAGTTTTTTGGTATGCCCCAAAATTTTAATTATTTATGTATGCCCATGAGATGAAAAAGGTTAAAAATTGCTGTCCTAGGCCATCATCTGTTCCACAAAATACAAAACTAAATACATTGAACTTCTTAGGAAAGATACAAATAAGAGGAACCAAATGTTTTCATCTTTATAAAAATACAAAAAAAGGTTTAAGGTATGACATCCCAGTCCCTAATCTAGACTGTAAAATTTTGCTTAACACTATTAAACTTGCAAATTAATTTTAAAAAATACAATTGATGATTTTCTCTTAAGTAATGTTTCAAAAAAGAGTTCAAATTTTTTCAAGTGCAACATTACCATTTTTTGCAGTAAGTGACATTTGCCATTACTCCCTCATAAGAATGAGATTTAAGGTAATCCATACATTTTAAGCAAACATATTTAATGTTTTTCCAAGGAAAGAATATGATCTAAAGACTATGACAATATAAAAATCAAGACTAGAAAAAATAATGGGGAGAGGAAATCAAGTAATGCAGAAAGTTAATGGGCACTGAAGCTGGGTGATACTGGGTATTTGGCAGTTCATTGTCTATTTTGTGTGTTTATGAATCTGATCATAATAAATTAATGAAAGGTAGCAAAATAAAATTATAATCTATGTAACAAGTATAGCTTTTTAAATTGAGCCATTACAGCGTATTCACAAAGAAAACTACAATTGTAACAAATTTATGTGAGGCTATTTTACTTAGCTGTTTAGACAAAACAACCTTGAATTATCACATATAGTGGGTATATTTTTTCCCATTTGCAATAAAAAATATCTTTTAAAATAGTTTTAACAATTTACAATATCTATCGATAGTATTATTAGAAAATAAGCTGAAAGGAACTTATCTTTGGGAATTTAAGAGAAATAAAAACTGTGAACATGTAATCATTTTGAAGTCTATTGAATAGAAAGAAAGATAAGTCCTCTTAAATAAATATGACTATACAATCACCACAGAAAACACTCTCTGAAAAACACGTTTGTGTCAGCTGAACTTAGAAGTTTAAGAATTCATGGTCCTGATGGTATGGTACTGTAGCACTATTTTAATTTTCTATAATCTATGGGCTACCAACAAGATGCCATAAATACTAAACCTGTGGCTCTCAAACTTGAACATGCATCAAAATCCCCTGGAGAGCTGGTTAAAACATTGTAGGGGACCTTCCCTGGTTCTGATTCAGAAGGTACAAGATGGAACTTGCATTTCTAACAAATTCCCAGGTGTTGATGCTGCTGGTCTGGAAACCACACTTTTAAACCACTGTACTCATCAATTTAAATAATCAGTCATTCACCAGTCATATACATCTTCACAGGACTTATATGTCAATATCATTGCAGCAAACTGATCAGGAGTTTTTAACCCTTTACCATGAACCCATTTGGCAGTCATGTGAAGCCTACAGACAGGTCCCTTCTCAGAATATTTTTAAATGTATAGAATACACAATAAAGGAAACCAATTATACTGTAGTTATCAAAAGATCTTTAAAATATCCTTTACTAACAAAATTAAATAAGACCTAAAAGCTCTTATAACTACCATGATTTCAAAGGTGTGAAAAGTATAAACAATGTATTTGAGATATATTTTGTAATGGTATGAAAATATTTGTAATTTTGATTGGTGACAAATTCAGATACTGCAGCTACTGTAGATTTGTTGCCTATGATCAGAATTGAAGGAAATGCTGTATTTCACATCAAGATTAGTGAAAATAAAGTTCATGGAACCTCTGAATTCTATCCCTAGACCTTTTGGGGAACCTGTAAACTCCAAATGAAAAAATCCTAAAGCCAAAAAGGGAAGTATTTCTGTGAAGTGTATTTCAAAAGACTACTTGGCAGCAATGACAAAAGACAGTTAAAAAGTTAAACCATTTACAAACTTCTGTTATATAGATAAAGCTTTTTGAGCTTCAGAGCAAATGTTTTTAAAAAAGAAATATTAGAATAAGGTAAACTTACTTTCAGGCTATTAAAAAGTAGTAGAGTTATTTATTAAACTTTTAAATATCTGACTGCCTATATTCAATCTTGACGTAAGCACTCTCCAAAAACATACAAATAATTCAGTTTAAAAGATAAACCAATCTTTAATTTGTACTTTAGAAATATAAAACTAAAAAAAATTTAAACTATTTGCTGTGACAATATTTAAGTGCACAACGATTGATGAAATGGCAAATCAAGTTAAATGATCACTTATAAACACTTGGCCTCTAACCTCTAACACAAATTGGGGAAAAATTCAAAACTCACAAACAAAATCAGCAATTTAGTACATATTTATTGCTTTTATTAACCTCGTATTTTCATTTTATGCCCAAGTTATTGTTTCATGAATTTGAAATACTTCTTAAAAAAAAACAAAAAAAAAAACACACACCACTTCTATGATAGCTTTCTCAAGTTTAAAAATGTTTGATAGGTTTTCACTAAGGCTAGTCGGCTGCTGTAAAGATGAACACACCATGAGAAATGTTGATTAAGAAATAAAGATAGTGTATAATTTATCCACTTTGCCTTAAACTGTACTGTATTTAACTACAGAGAAAGAGAGAATTAAAATTATAGTCTAGGCATATAATGTAACAATCATGAAAATTATGGACATGTTAAAGCATCTTCATATCATTACACCTTCATGAGGTAACACCTTTTAAACAGACAAGGACAGAAAGCAGCCAGAAAACACAATTCTGATCCTACAATTCTCACAGCCAAATTCAGACCAAATACTGCCACTCAGAATCTTTTAAATGGAATCAAGATTCTGAATACACATATTTAAAAAACAAATTGACTTATACATGCAAAGAACATTTTTTTAAAATATACACTAAAATTTAAAAATACATGTGACTTGGGTAGAAAAAATATTTAAAATTTCTCTTTACTATAGGTTTCATATTCAAAGAAACTAATGAGGAAAAACACATTAAACTGGGTAAACATAGGCCATCAGAAAAGAAAAGAAATCCAGTATCTAGGATGACAATTTTACAAATAATTTTTCAAACTACCATACACCATTGGAAACAGAGAATAGCACTATACTTCAGGGCTCGGAAATGCCCCCTTTTATTCTTAATTCATTTTACAATTTTGTGTTAAACTAATTTGATCAAGTTTTTTTGTTTGCTTTTATTATGTTGCTGAAATTCTTAACTCTACTGTTTATAAGAATAAACTAGTTAAAATTCAATTCTGATTTTTCTATGTTTGCCTTTCTTCCTTTTTTCAGGAGTTATGAATAAAAACAATCCTCCTGGTGTGTTTTATAAATCCTTAAAGAAAATATCTCTATATTATTATAGGCTTTTCGACTTTTCTATGATGAAAAATAAACATTTTATGTAATTGTGTCTTGGCAAAGTCTTAAATCAATGTGAAAGGTATTTTGCTGTTTTTCATGTAAAAATATTAAATTCTATAATGACCTTGAACACACACATACTCTATCCATTCCTAGAAACAATATTATTTGTCTCCTCTACCAGATTTAAACTCTACCTGGAGTACAAACTGGTGTACTTGTTCACCATTCTATCTCTAGCGCCAACACAGCCTAGCAGGCCCTCAACAAACATATGTCAAATAAATACATTTAAATCTGTCACTTTGAAGTGTTTGCAAGTCAAATTCCTGGAATAGCCGAAACCGGTTTGGCTCGGTGGTAGAGCACCGGTCTGCGGACTGAAAGGTCCCAGGTTCGATTCCGGTCAGAGGCATGTACATTGGTTGCGGGCACATCCCCAGTAAGGGCTGTGCAAGAGGCAGCTGGTCGATGTTCCTCTCTCATCGATGTTTCTAGCTCTCTCTCTCCCTTCCTCTCTGTAAAAAATCAATAAAATATATTTTTAAAAAATTTCCTGGAATAGGGACATGTACTTGTTCAGGTCTAATAACTCTTTAGTCTTGGGACTAAACTCACTCTTTTACATTTCTGTTTCATTTTACAAATGCTTCTGCCCACGTGTTCACTTAATTCCTCTGTGATATAAGCTGTCAGAAAAAAATGTACACTTATAGTAAACAATCAAAGTTTTGTAATTAACCTAAGATTTAGGAAAAGGGGACTTTTCTTACTTATCCAGGGGTCATAAGCTGTCAACCCAAAGGGAAACAAATTTGTCTAGAAGGTAAGGGATTATAACAGGATCTAGCCTCATCGTCTGATAAGTCCTAAATTCGGGGAAGATAAATGGTTTCTTTTCCGGAGCCTCCAGGCTGGAGGGGCACTTTCCCGGCCCCGGACAAACAGAAAGGAAGGCGAACAGCGCCACCCTGAAGGCACTATCTGGGACTGTCATGTGGTGGCAACAACTGCCGAGACCTGTGCCACAACCCTCTCCCCCGCTCCCTGCGCCCGGGAACTTTCCCAAACCCGCCCCGCCGGCGGCGGCCGCACAATGGCCATGACACGGCGGCCCGCGCCGCCCGCCGCCCCACGGGGCAGCCCCAGCGGCGCCTCCTCGGCGCTCCGGACGGGCCCGAAGGGGACCCGGTCGCGCTCCGTAGGACGACCCGCAGCGCGCAGACAGCAGTTCTGGAGGAGCTTGGAGTGGGGTCTGGGGACGTTTTTAACGAATGGAGGGGCAGTCTGTGCCTGTCAAGGTTTCTGCCAAGTGGCCCCGTCCTGGCCCCAAAGTCCCGGGGGCTTGAAAGTGCGCGAGCGGGGGCGCACAGGGGAGAAACAGCTGCTCTAGAGGTCGGCAGAGCCCCGCGCTCCCGGGAAGGAGGGCGCCGGGCGGAGCGCCGCGCAGCCCGCACACTCCGGCAACGGGGTAGGCCTCGGGCTCCCCCCCGGGTCCCCCGCCACCCGGCCCGTACCCTCCGGGCCCCAAGGCTCGGCCCCAGTACAGCTTCCGTACCTCTCGGTGCGGAGGCAAGCGAGGAAGTGATGAGCCGCGCGGCGACCGCTCCGCAACTACAGGCGCCGCAGCCAGACATCTCCGCGGGGCCTAGGCCGGGCTTCTCCTCCTCCTCCTCCTCCTCCTCCGAGTCGCAGGGGCCCGGCTCCTACTTGCAGGGCGCGCTGACCAGGCTCCGGACCCTCCCGCCAACCCCTAGGCCCGGTGCAGACTTCAGCCGCCAGGCAGCCAGGCCTGCGCGTTCTCAGAGGCCCTCGGTCGTGTACCCAATACTGTAGACACCTAAGCCCTCTCCCTCCCTCCCCTCCGCCTCTCCCTCCCCACCCCCACCCCCCACCCGCCTACCGGGCCCTGGGAGCGTGCGCGCGCCTGCGTCCTAGGACTTAGGGAGGGGCGTTGGCACGTGCTACGTGTGTGTACGTGAGGCACCGCCGTACGGCGAGGGGAAGGGGGCGGAGACCTCGGAGCCAATGAGCACGCTGCGACGGTGGCTGGCCCTAACTGCAGGCACTACAAGTCCCGAAAGGCAATTCTTCCGGAAGCCCCTTTAATCCTAGTGTTGAAAAAGTTTTTGAGGTAAACACAGCGGTGCAGGCCGGGAGTTGTAGTCCTAACCCGTCGCAGTCAAGTTCTGGTCATTTTCGATTGGTGGCAGGGAAGATGAAAGTGAGACCGGTGGAGTCCTTAAAGTGTTTTTGTTTTTGTTTTTTTTCTTTAAAGTTTTTATAGTCTTTAAAAACATTCTCTGGATGGCTCAGAAATTCCTTTCGTCGGGATTCTACATCTTGGCTCCTTATTTTCCTCACTTGTAATATGGAAGTGGTGGACTTTTTTTGAACTTTTGGATGATGGCTCTCTTTGTTTTATAAGCCAGCGCTGATAACTTGCAGCTGTTGCTAGTCCATGACTGCTTTACAATCCTTTGATGGTTCCCTTAAACCTGATCACACCCTGGTAAACCGTTCTTTCATTAATTCTCTTTGAATCCTGTTAGCATGGCTGGTTCCTCTCTGGACAGCTAAAACAGATGGACCCTGGACAAGGTGGAGAATGGTGACAAATTAACCAGACTCTTCCCATCTGAGTTGGCGCCAGACTATTTGTGTATTAAGATTTTGATTAACTTAGAAACCCAGAGAAATTGCCAAGTGTTCTTGGATGCTTCTAGTTCTGAATTTGGGGGGAGTTGGGCAAGCTAGAGCCAGGACGAGGCCACACAAGTTATTTAGCCCTCAACAATCTTGGATTAGAGAAATGTGGCTTCTAGTTCCGTGGGTCTGGCCATGAGAAGGGGCATTGGCCTTGGCCCAGGCCAATCATGTTTTGTGTTTCTTCGCTCTAAGGGAGCTGACTTCTGGTATTCCCTCAGTTTTAAAGTGGCAGACACCAGAATCAGAGCCCCGTCTTCCTCAGCAGCCTCCATTAATATAATTTTGAGGAAGGAAAGATTCTTAAGTTCTCTCAAAACAGTGTTTTCAAATTATGTTCTTAGAATCCCTCAGAAGCTCTGTGGTGGGGGTGAGGAGACTAAGAGCACTTCCTCTGTCTCTTATTCCACCCCAAGGTTAATCAAAACAGCCCTGCTTTTATCTGTTTATCTATTTCATGTATTAGGGTTTTGTTTGAAAATAGTGTTCGTTAGCTTTAAAGCAATGTTTCAAAACCACTGATGCTAGGACAAACTTTTCATTTTAGCAATGACCCAAGCAGGTCACATGAAACCCTAACACCCAACTTAAATAATCATCTCACCCTACCTCCTATTTCAATTATATGCACATTTCTTTCTGTTGTAAGTAGCAGAAATGGTACCAGTTGTATGACCAATGGGGTCTGATCAAATCTGGGTTCAATAACCCTGGTACTTGGGTTCTGGCTAGGAAATAATTCAGAGTTTAGAACCCTCAAATGGCCAAGGAGATCGAGCTGGTCCTGATGTCAGCTTATTTTTTGTGGATCTTGCAACCAACCAAAGGAAGTATGTTCCCTTGACCAGAATTGAACCTGGGACCCTTCAGTCCAAGGGGTGACACTCCAACCATTGAGGGCCAGCTGTGGCTGATTTTATTGTTTATTTGGGCCTGGAATAAAACTGAGGTATAGATGTTCTTTCTAGGGACAAAAGCTCAGAGGGTCCAACCTACACAATGGCCCAACCAGCAATATGCTAGGGGAGAGAAAGTCACTCTGGGGGCAAGGTCCCACCCTACAATTGTCCATTGCTAGGCCCCTGGGGCTTTCCAACCTTTCTCTACCTGGCCCATCATTCTTGCTCTGCTCATGTTTGTCTAACTGCCTACAACACTTCTTTTTCTCTAAATAATTAATTTTTTATGAAGCAAGCTAAATAAAAGCTTAATGAAGTTAAGGCTCACCTGGAAGCACTCCATGAACTTTCCCTTTCTCTGTCTATTCTATGAGCTGGATTTCTTATTCATTCAGTCAATGACTATTTATTAAGCACTATTTATTACATGCGGGGCACTAAGGAAATAACACTGAACCACACTACACACAAAAATGTTTCCCTCATGGAGCTTCTATTGTAGTGGGAAGTATAGACAGCAAGTAAAAAAATACATACTAGTATATGTATATTCCACTGGTATGATGACATAGAATATCCTTATATTTTTATATAAGGATATATCCTTATATGTGTGTAATATATTCTTATGTTACAGGACAATTGAGCATTTCATTTATTTATGGACTTATGTTTTCTGTTTTGCCTGTGTTCCAACTGGACTATGAGCTCTTTGAAGGCAGGTATTTCATTATGTACCAAGGCCAGAAAATCTGACATATAATCAGAGCAAACTATAATTGACAAAAAGGTGACTGTTAATAGAAACAATTTTATACAATGGTTAATCCAACTGATTGAGTGTCTCAGAAGAAATTCCCAGGAGATTCCAGATTAGCAGAGTGTAGACTTTGCCCTAGAAAATACAAAAACAAAGGGATCTGTACACAACTGTTTAACTTTTTCTCAGTAATGTGAACAAGGGTCATGTGGCTCTGGCATTAGACTGGTGATGGTTTCATCATGCAGGCAACATGCTTTTGGTAGTTTCAATACATCACCCCAAACCTGTACTCTGTAGGTCAGAATATACCTGGATTATTAGGATCAGCACCCAACAAGCATGGATTGGGACACTAACTTTGTACGAGGCTCTCTGTTGGTGTAGATCTTATAGTCGTGTTCAAATTGGGGAACTTGTACCATGGAGATATACCAAGACTTCCCATTTGGTGTTTGAGCACAGAGGGGTGTTTTTTATTTGTTTGTTTTGGGTTTTTTTTGTTTGTTTGTTAGAGGGGTGTTAAGTTTAAATAAAATAACATCTATATTGGAAAGGGTTCCGATGAAAAGGATCATTCTTTTTAGGAACCACGTGACTATTTGACAAAGGAGCATGTTCCATTTTACAAGTGTGCATTCCCTGACCTGAAATTCACAGGTTGGGATGTAGGGAAGCATTGGACTTGGTTGGAAAGCCTGTAAGGAGGATTTTCTAAAAGGTTGGGAGCTTCTTAGGGGGACCTTGCTGAGGGCAGCAGCCCCTGCCTTGACTTTTCCAAACAAGTCCAAGCTCCCAGGTGTTTTACTGGAATCTCTATGTTTAGTCTTCAAACCCGACCTTGTAGAAGCATGTAGTTTTTCAAGGATACTTACCCTGCTGATAATAGTTAAGTTTAGTTCAAACAGTTGTTACAATAAAAGCCTAAAGAGGCAGGCAGTTGAGGCTCTTTGCTCCTAAAGCAAAACAGCCCCTTAGCCTTCTCTTTCATAGAAATGTGTGTCAGAGTAATCATTCACCCATCATTCAGGGTCTGCTGGTCAGCACAGGCATTGGGACAGTGTCCTTGATCCAGGACATGAGAGGGAGCAGAGCTTGGCATCTGGGCAAAGGGCAGTGAGGTTCCAGAGGCACACTAGGACCCTTCTCTCTCATTTGGCACTTCATGGATAACCTCTGGCCAGGTTCCTATCATGCCATCCCCATGAGTTATGGATTTGGAAACAGAGCCATTTGATATTTTCCTTGTAATAAAATGGCTCCTCTATTAGATGAGTGATAGCAATACCTGTGGCCACATCTTATCAACTCTTTGAAACAAAATACATCCACATCACACCTACTTTCAGCTCTGTTCTGACAGGTTAATGATGCTTTAAAAGGAAAGTCAAATGCAATTTTCCAGATCAGCTTAACAATAACCTACAACCTTCGGACCAACTGAAATTTTCCAGATCAAATAGTTTCCAGGATCTGACTCCCCTCCTTGAGTTATTTACCTAACTAAAATTTACATAAAAAGTATTTTTCCCCCCTTTTTAATACTTGATTCTACCTCCCAAGATTGTGAACATTGTGAGTTGTTAAGTGAAAAATATCTTATAGGTTAGAGTCAGGGAGTCATCTGATTTAGCACTGGGTTTTTCAGATGAGGTAATAGGCATGTGAAAACGCAGGGACTTGACCAAGGTGACATAATGAGTCAGAAATAGAGTTCAAGTCTTCTGATTTTAAAACTTCGTTTCTTAATCTTTTTTAACCTAAAACTCCTTCTGCTAAACATAAAAATTTCACCTCTCCATTGTGAAAGAAAAGAGCCACATGCTAACCTGACAAGCTCAGGGAAGGCCTGCGTGGAAGTCTTGCAAACCCAGAGACCTAAGATAACCACAAGATCCAAGATGGCTGCTCGGGTAGGCACCTAGCCGCGCCGCACACAACAATTTCAACAAAATACAACTAAAATATAAAATGGACATCACCCAGAACTACAGGAAAGTTGACTGACTGGAAATTCTACAACAAGAAGCAAGGAGAAAACCAGAAGGAAGCGCGGAGGAGCTGGAAAAGCCTAAGGTACGGAGACACGCGGCTCGCGCGCTGAGAGGACGGAGCCGGAGAGGAGGGAGCGGAGTGCCTGGCGGGCGTTCCCTGGCGGGAAGGAGATAAAACTCCGACTGTGCTGGCCCCCATTCTGACTGCTCTGAACCCCAGGCCTAGGCCAGACCCCTGGGACCCAGGCTCACACAGAGGGAGCTGGGCTGTAAGGCGG